AATTTCCATTTTTTTATAGAAACAATAGTCAGAAGTTTAAAAACCAAATAAACTAGAGCGCATGTAAATGTTGTGGTATCCACAACCTCCATCTCTCCCCCATCGAATGCCAACCGCTCTTCAGATAATTGGTTCTGCAATGGTCGAGTGTCCTAGAATATTTACCTGGTCCTCCGGCCATCCATCCATCATCTCCCCAACATGCTCAATCTCTGTCTGGAACCGGCGCACCGGAAGTGTGGCCGCAGCAATCAACGCGCCAAGTTGGAAGCCCACTCATCCGCTCCTGGCTGCACTGACGGCCATTTTGGGAGCTTAACCATAAATGTTGCATTTCGCTTTTAAGCTGCAACCTAACGATGTGTGTGTGTGTGGCAGTCGATGGAGGGGGAGGGGAGGAGAGTGGCACGGTTCGAGGATGAGGCTTACCAGCAATTTGGGTTGGCTTTTCCCCAGTCAACGGGGATGGGGATGGGGGGATGCGAGGTGGTAGTCAGGCAGCATCTGGCCACCTTTTTACACGTGCCTCGACTCATCTCCGGCTAATTCTCTATGCATTTCAGTGCCGCAATTCAGGAAGAATCCACCTGCCATTATGGCCCAGTTCCCCCCTATGACCCCGTCCGCCCTCACGCGTATCCCTTTGGCCGGAGATGCGGTCTATTTGAATCTTCCACTTGTTGGCTCCCAGTTGGGTATTGGAATTGGCATTCTTTGAGGGCACCTGCACCTGCGTGCTTGGAAAGCATTTCCTTAGCCAACAAGCATCTCCTATGCAATAGTTCATGTCTTCCCGCTCGATCGCTCAAATTTACTGAACTCTTCGCACAAAATCAACTCAACTACAGTATTATTTATCAAACTAAAAGCATTTAACAATTTTAAATCTTTTAGCTAAAGCATTTTTTAACTTCGGGGAGGTAATACTATTAATATTTTAATTATTTTTTGTATTTTTTTTAAGGCTATCTAACTTTTAAACTTTAATTTCGAAGAGGAAATTATTCTTTTAATTTATATATTTTATCAACATTATTTTTAAAGTATATACAAGTTTTTCTCATCCCTGAAAACTCAATTAAGAATTTCCTAAATATTCAATGAGAATATAGTTAATATAAATTGATAAAGGCAGGAATAGCAAGAAAGTTGACACATAAAAAATGAAAAATTATCTTTTTTATCTTAATAGATTTGAAATGGTTGAAACGAAGAATTTATGACTCCGAAAATTAATTCCAAAGAAAATGTCTTTGCATATAAACAATAATTTAAATTTTTTAAACTTTGTCTCCTAAGAACACACCTCCTTCGAGTATTTTTTCCTCAGCTTAAATTGTGGTTTAAAATCAATTCTTGCCTATGAAGTTTCCGACTTAAGCTAGCAAAAAAAAAGTTGGGAAAATTAATAGAAAAAGTTTAGATTATCCGAAACATAGGCAATTTTTAAATGTTTTAAGGTAAGTAAATACTTTCTGCAGTAAGAGCATATCGGCTTTTACATTTTGACCTTTCGACTGATGGCTATTATGCGGCCATTTCACACACGCATACATTGATAATGCCACCGCACATACACACACACATTTACAACCGACTGACAGCTTGTTTCGTTTTTCTTCCTCCTTTGGTTCTTTTTTTCGACCACTCAATGAGCTTTTAAGAGCGCTAATTAAAAATGTGGCAAGTGTAACCAATGCAGGCGACTCACCCTCCCCCTCCACCTCCCCCCTTTTCCGCACTTTTCCGCCTTTCATGCCACTAAGGCCTGGCCCGAACGGATCCCACATAATGTGGCTGTCGTCTCGCTTTCTATTGGCCGCTCTTGAGCGTTTTGCGTCTCTGGGAGAGCGCAATTAACGCCTTTACTCTTGGCATTGGCAGCCATGGAAAAACTAAGGAAAACCACGCTTTTCTTGCGCCCCCTCCCCTCCTACCTCGCGCCCCACAGCCCCTGTGGTTATTGCGGCTTTGTTTGTGTGGCAAGCGTTTTTAGATTGCATATTTATTAAAATGCAGCTAAAGTTGCAGCACATGAAAGCACAAACGCAAGACGAACGAGCTGAGGAAAAGCTAAAATGTAATAACTCTTGTTGGGCCCCTCCCGCTTTTCCGACCACCCCCCTCTTGCCTCTTGGTTTTTCCTGGCTGTGCATTTCCGTAAGCAGCTTTTGTCCGCAGGTGTTTTGCTATTGTGTTGGCTCAACGCTTAACGCTCGATGGAAAGCGATGCGATGGGGCTAAGGCACTCAGCAAAAATTAGAGATCATTGTGGATATTTAGTGAGTGAAAAATAGTAATTATAATAATTAGTAATTAAACAAAATCGAATTTATAAAAAATTTTTAGAAAGTTTTTGTTTTAAAAAAAAATATTTCACTTTTTTTTAAATTCTATTTAATGAAAAAAGTATTTTGAAAATATTTAAAACTATAATTATAAAAAAGATCTTAAATGTTGCATAAAATGTCAAAAAATAATATCATTTTGATAGGAATAACGATTATTCGTATCTTATTTTAAATTATTTTTTCAAAAAATACTATATTTGATATTTTAAAAGAGTATTTTTATAATTTTTGCGAAATAACAGATATGATAGAATATCAATTAGATATGTTTGAATCATACATTTGATATTACCCATATCGGATTTTTATTGATATAAAGCAGAATTGACCTTTTTCATATCGAATTTTTTTTCTGGGTAATAATGCATAGTTCGCAATATAACAATTTACATTTAAGTCAACTTTTTTTTTAACTTTAAAATATTTTTAATTTTGTGTTTGTTTTTTATCAGTGTGCTTGGCCAACGTTCGTTTTGTTGCCAAGGATTTTTCAAGACCAAGCTGCTTATTATCGTAAAAAAAAAGAAATAATAAAAATGAGCGGCAACTAATAAGCTTATGGCCGTGCAACCTGGTATAGCCCAGCTCTCCTCCATCCAGCCATCATCCTTGCCGGGCTCTGCTAATTGTGAGCTAATTCTAATTATCAGCAACACATTCGAGAGGTTCTGGTTCTCGTTTTGGTCCCGGTTCCGACTTCGGCTCCTCCGCTCCTGTCTGGCAGCTAACGAGTGTTTATTAATGGCGCTAATGGCAAGCGACGCCTTTGATGAGCGTAAAATGCTTAAGCACACAGATCCTGGCCGGGCTTTTTGCTCCTCTTTCTCCTTTCGGGCCACGCAATTAGCGCACAAATATTTCCGCATACATTTCGTTATATATATAATACTTTTTTTTGTAATTCTGCTGCCTTTCCGTTTTGGCCATAAAAATGCTCAACCGAATTGTAGTAATTACAACAATTTGCATAAGAACGGGACCGAGAGGAAGGACGGAAATCAAAAAGCGCAAAACGGCGAGCCAAGCTCACAGAAGTATGCTACGCATTTTGCAATTTATTCAGGCAGACAAGCGGGGAAAGGACAACCCAGAAAGATTCCGAAAAAAACATACAAAAGAGCGCTGAGAGAAAACGCTAATTATGTAATATGAAAATGCGAGGACAACGCTGAATTATTTGCATATGGTAAGCACGGGACAACATAGAGAACCCTTTTTTCCCCCAATCCTTTTTGGGTTACTTTTTATGTTGTGTTTTTTAGCCCATTATCAAATTCAATTAACACTCCGCATGCGGCAAGGAATTTTTTAATTTTTATTACCGTTGCAATGCATTGCCGTGGCGAATCAAAAACCACACGCAAATCAAATCGGCATTCATTTCTGGCCTACTTCTGCTTCTACAGTTGCTGCTGCAGTTGAAATTTCAATTAGGCCAACAGATTTACAATTGAATAAATTCGAAAACCTGGAAACCTTGCAACGCCTGATGTCGATTAGTGCAACAAAGTGCAACAACCGAGCGGTAGACAAAAGCAGCATTGTGAAAATCATAAATTCCAGCAATCGAAGGTGGAAAATTCGATTCTCTTTCGAGGGTCAGGCAAGTAAATCAAATGTGCTGGAAATTGCATTCGAATCCTTATTTGTTGCTGAAAAGGAGATACAAAACCTTTCCACTTGAATATGTAAATTGTTCTTTTAGTGAGTTTCAAGGATTCATCAATATGAAAAGGAGCAGATTGGTAAATAAATAAAGGTATTTGAGTTTGTATGTTATCTTTTTATTTGCTAATTCGTTTTTATGCATCTCGACTTGCTTTTTACAAATAATTTTAATGAACCATAATCAAAGGAAAGGGGTTCGTTAATGCTGAATAAAAACTTTTTTTTATTATTCTGAAACTTTTATTAATAAAAAGTAGACAAAAGTTAATCGATTTCTGAAAAAAACAAATATGTAGATTATTGATATTAAATATTCAATTACATTTAAATATATTAATAAATATTTATTTTCAATGAAGTTGAACCGCAGCTTTATATGTTTACTTTACTTACCCCTCTCGTTTACAGAATGTTTTCTAAAGCTCTTGCAATCGATTTAATTTCGAGGTAAATTCTCACCTGACGATTCATGACATAATACCCGTATAAATACCCATAACGAAATACCAAACTTAAAAAAAAAGGTAAGCATGTTGATCACAAAAAGTATTTCGAAAAAAGGGGCATTTTGTCCGAGTCGCGTTAATTTTGCATGCCCCAAAAAGTGTGCACTGCGACGGAAACGGAAACGAGAGCGCGAAATTTCAATATGCTGCTTACACCAACTACAATTGTGAATGGCAAAAAACCAATTTCAATTTGTTAACCATTTTTTTATTCCCAATCAAATTTATTACATCGGCTGACAACAAAAGTATTGAGTAAAGGGGAGCTTGGCCAACGAAAAAGGAGAATATGGAAAACAAATTCGCAATCGGCGCTTATTTTCTTAAAAATATACATATCCATGTGTGGCCTCCTCTTGTTGCTTCTGTGGGTGTGTATTTATTGTGCTGCAAGAGTGTGTGTTTGCAGGACAATTAAAACCAAGCAAACACAACAACAGGATGACGGGCGCTTCGGTTCGGTTCGGTTGGGAGTGGTGTGTGTGGAATAGCAGACGGGCGCCCGTGGTCCTAGTAAATGGTAATCAACGCAAATCCTCCATAGAGCACCGCACACGGATAGGCAATCAGCAGCTGTTGATGGTCCATGGAGAAGGCGGTGGCGAACAGTTTCGAGGCCGATATGGCGCACCAGAATATGGAGATGCCGCTCACAATTAGGCCGAGTGTGCCCCTGCAAGAGTGAAACGAGATACCAACTCAGTCCGGATAGATATAGACGTCGGTGAAATCAATAAACAATGCATATGCATGAAGCAGCAACCGTACAGAGTGAGAAAAAAAAAAAAACAAAACTGTATGAGATCTATAATCTTATGTGCAATGTTCTCGATTTCACTTTATCAAGAACTCTTTAAAGGAGTCATATACTTATTTGATTAAATCGAAATGCAACGTTATTTAAATTGTAAGATACTAATAAGAAACACAATTTTAATAGTGCTCCTGCCAAACCTTATTCAAAATTTATTTTCCAGGAGTTCTAAAATAAAAGTATTTCATACATCAAATAAATAAAATATTAAGACTTTTCCTTTAGAATTCCCAAAATATAATCAGGGGTGTTAACCATTTTTTTTAATCAAGTAGACGATTTAAAACTAATTTAAAAAAAAATAAATTTAAATTACTCTATAAACGAGTATTCTTGTGGTTATGTTTTTTTTTGTATTACTTTTTGATTGTTTAAGTTCGTGTAAATTTTTTCCCAGTGCATCGACTTGGGATAGAGTATTCGACTGACTGAGTGTTCATAAAAAAGGATGAGTGGGTGGCTGTGGGTATGACTGAGCGTATATGCGAATGAATGGGCAGGGCAAACAAAGACAGCAGGCGATGTGCCGGCAAAAGGATGTGCAAACACAATCCAACTACAAAGCGCACACATAACCCACACCGCACACTCTCTCACAGAGAAAGCCCAGCGGAAAATTAAAAATTGATTTCAAAGAGATATGCAGAATTTTACCTATATCCTATATCCCGTAACGCAAATGTCTGGCTAAGATTAAAGGCAGGCCAACTAAGATTTAATTTGGGCTTCTATACCCTTCAGGACAATTTTTTATTATAAATTTCTCTTAGTTTTAAGTACAATTCCTCGCCATTCTCAAAGAATAAACCCCAGAGATTCAATTTAGTTTAACTTATTTATCTTCCACTCACCCAAAAAACTTTCAAGGACCCATCATTTCAGTAACTAAAGCAAACAAATCGATGATTATGACTTGACCTCCTCTCAATCCAAACATTTTAGAACCTTTAAATCAAAGATTGGAAAACAAAGTAAAATTTCTTGACTTTATGAAAGCTAGGAAGATAAGCCAAAATATTGAGTACGTAGATAAAGAAGTTCGGATCTCTTAAGGAAAAAATAACACATACTAGCAAAACTTTTGCCAGTCCAGTTTAAACTTGTAATCCGAGAATCCTATCCTGTTAACCTATTAAATCCGGCATAGAAATCAATTTACGAAACCAAAACATAAATCCCCCTATTTCAAAGTTCCAATTTTCAGCTACACGCACGCGTTTAATGGATTGCCTTTCTGTGGTCTCGGCGGCTCGGCTGTCACCTCCACCTCCCATTTACCACTCAACCAATCCTCGTTTTTTCGCTTGCTGTTTCCTGCAATCTTCTCCAGAACTTTGTTGGCCGTTGGTCAAGTGATTTTTTGGCCCGCACTGGGCAGCTTAAATGGTCCGGCACTAGCCTAAAAACCAATCAAAACAATACTATGTAGGACCGGATAACTCGACTGTCTGTGTAATTTTTGCGCACTTTTGCATCACCAAACAAACTCAATTAAAAAGTCTGTCCTAAAAAAAAGGACAGCGGGGAATCGCAAAAATATTTACTGTAAACTTGGCTGGCATTCGCAGGGACTATATGAACATCAAAGCTAGCACACACACATAGGGCCACCCACAAAGAGCAAGCGCTTAAAGCCAACAAATAAAAAATGCAGGCAAACAGGCAACCAGGCAACCAAAATGGCAATTGCACTGGGCAGTTGGACAGTTTGCTGAAAAAGGGGGGCACTTTTTCGTTGGGTCCGGTGGGTGGGGCAAACAAAACGCGCTTGGTGTCGAGTAAGCCCGAGCAATAGTTGTTTTTTACACACACGCTCATTTCCACCCACACAGAAAATAAAATTCGATCTGAAATAGGGTCATTTCTAACTTATTTTAAACCAATATGATTAATATCAAATTTATGATTCAAACATATCAACTTAATATGTCATAATTTCATAAAAGTTATAAAAATACTTTTTTAAAATACCAAATTTGGTATTTTTGAAAAGTTTTTAAAACAAGATAAACTTAATCTTAATTCTTATCAAAATGATATGAATAACTTGATCTTTAAAAAACAAACAATACAATGCACATATCAATCAGATCTTTTATCAATTTTTTTTCTGTGCACCGCCACCCATCGCCACCCACCGCACCACTTAGTTTCCCCCCGCTCTGCTCTGAAATTATGACGTGCCAAAGGGGGGCGAGGAGGTGGATCGGTGGAGCGACCAGAGGAAGCGCTAAAAACTCACGCAGCATTTGCGTGTTGCTCCTCGCATGGCCATCATAAAAAGCGTGGCAAGTGAGTGGAGCCAGTAAAAATGGGAGAAAAAAAAAGAAGTGGCGGAAAGGAAATTCAGAGGCAAGGGGACGGGAAGCCGCCTGGCTAGCAAGTGCTGGACACATATTTGAAAAGGAAACTACGTGAACGAAACTCAACGGGTGGCAAAACAGGACATGGAACGTTAGACAGATGGACAGAGGACCGCCGCCTGGCAGGAGCCTTTCCACCGCCCACTCAACAAAACCACCCACTCCAACTGTTCTCAGCGCGAAAATTAAACGGCGCATAGTTGGCGTTATTTTGCAACGTTTTTTGCCTGTCTTGCCTTGGCTTCAATGGAGTCCGAGGTCCTCGGTGCTCAGTCCTCACTCCTCTGTCCGTAGTCCGGAGTCCTCTGTCCGTTGTCCGTAATTCGGAGTCCTCGGTCCGTAGTCTGTAGTTTGGCAGTTGTGGCCCTGGAGTGCACTAAAAGCGCAAATTAAGTTGGCTACTCTTTTTTATTCGCCTCCGTGTGTATGCATCGCTGGCCCAAAACTGCAACAAAATTAAAAACCTAAATTGTGCGAAAAGAGGCAAGGGGAAATCAGCCCCCAGCGGATGGGCAGATAAAGAAAAATTAAACGCTGGCCCACAAGGAGTTAACAGGAATCGTAGTTGATTTCTGGAAATTAAGAGGTCAGGTTTAATACCCTTTGGTTCGAAAATTAATTAACTAAAACTATTTGCAGGCGATTTTGATCATAATCATAAAAATAAAATTATACATAAAATGTTTGACATTCTAGTCGTCATTGCTAACATTTTATAACTTTAATGAAGCATTTTTCGATTACTCTATATATTAGTATCTTATATTGAAAATGCCAATTTGCTGTCTATATCTTTTTAGAAGAAAAATAAAGAATGTTTTTAAAAAAAATTTAAAGGTTTTATATCTTACTATTTTTTAGAATTATACAGAGCCTGGTACTTGGAGTTTAAGTGGCCTAATTATTTTAAAAATTTCTAGCAAATAATAACAAATTTTCTTGGCTACTGAATCAAAAATTTAATAACAATATATAATACTTTATTACAGCTCTAATAAATAATTATTAATTACAAGACAAAAAATATTTATTACACTTTAAATCCTAGTTGCAATAGCCCATTTCAATAAAGTGCATTAAATCAGGTACATGACCACACCCAACCAAAACTGCAGGCTCAAATCAAACAATCGAAAAACAACACCCGCAATAACAATAATAATAACAGCCAGAAGTGATAAACTTGAATAAACGAGAGTCAGCCGGAGTCGAAGCATCAATTGGACAAATTTGAACGGCAGAGAAAACGGATCGAAAACGTGCTGCAGTCGCAGCTGGACGAGCTTAGGCAAAAGTTTGTAATTACAGGCCACAAACAATGAGGAGTCGACGCCGATGCATTGGCAACTTTTCAATTAAAAACATAAATATAAAGCACGGCGAGGAGTGGAGTGGAATGGAATGAATGGAGGGCTAGATGAAAAGCCAGCGACTTGTGTCAACAATTACTTACTGAATGGTGATTAAAATGTTGATGCCCGACAGCACCACCATGGGCAGCAGACAATAGCCCAGCACGGAGGCCACCGCCCCGAAGGTCACCTGCGACCGGCTGACCATCAGGGACAGCAGGCAGTAGAAGAAGATGCAGCCCATCACGCCGATTCCGTAGATGTACGAGAACGTCACCTTGCCGCTCTGTAAAGCGAAAAATATATGAAATTTGGTCAGTATATTGAATCAGTTATTATATAACTTAATTTAAGAGTTTAACTCTTTTTTAGTAAAGAAAGATTTAAATAATTTGTGCAAATAACTTTAAAAAAAATTAATAAATTGAATTTACCGTCATTAATGTATTAATATATGCATTTTTGTAATCTATTTCTCAAATATTACAGATTTTACATTAATGTTAATTTCTAGTAATCAACTTACAGCTGCACTTAAAAGATTTCCTTCCCAAATATTTTATAAATATGATTTAAAGACTATTTAAATGAGATGAAATAGGTCACAACCAGGGAACGAAAATAACTGTTATTGTAAATTTTTCATACAAAAAAATCACGCACTTAGAAGGGTCCTAAAAATTTTTTAAATACACCACAATTTTTATTAGCCATTGTAGTTTACAAATCCGTAATGATTTTTATTTTTTGATTTTTATAATAAAACTCAAAAAATAACTGTTATTTTTTGATTTTTATGAATAACAGTTATTCCCTTGACATTTTTGAAAAAATGAAATAATTAAAAAAACACAATACCCGTGCTTTTTATAACTTACTAAAAATTTGTTAAAAAAGGCAACCACGCATATTTTATACCAATATTTTTTTAAAATTTTGTTTACCCACAAAATCGCCATAAATCAAGTTTGAGTTTTATTTTGATCACGACGAATAACTGTTATTTGTCAACTTTTATTATAAAACTCAAAAAATAACAGTTATTCTTTGAGTTTTACTTTACAAATCAGAAAATAACTGTTAAAGTGTGATTTTTAAAATAAAACTTATAACAGTTACGTTCCCTGGTCACAACATTGAATGAGCTGTCTATCTGATTTAATTTAAAAGAATTAACATATTTTTAATACATAAAATTAAAAAAAATTTTGTCCGAACAACTAAAAAAAATTAATACATTTAAATTACCATCGACAATATATTAACTTTTATAATATTTTTTCAAATATGAAAGAGGTATGTTAATTTTAATGTTAATTTCTAGTAATCAGCTTACTGCTGCACCTAAAAGATTTCCTTTTATAATATTTTATTATTGTTACCAAAAGACCATTTAATTATAAATTAAAATTCGTTTCGACCGTAATTGAAAAGGGATGATGTGGCGGTAATCGTTCCAACTTACCAGTAGCAGGAAGCCGCCAAGTGTGAGACAAAAGACCAGTGGTCCAGCCATGTCCGTGTCCTGTAGGATTTGCTGGTCGGTGCCCCGCAAAGGATTCAGCACGGCGAGCGTCTGGAAAGAGGGAGAACGCGAGAGTTATTCGATTAAAATTAGAGCAAGTGAAGGATCACACAGCGAGGGGTTCGTGGGGTTCGAGGCAACAGGCCATCATCACTCATGGAGCCTGCGGCAGGACACGGGATTCGAGACTCGGAACACGGGACTTTGGACCCGGGACACTACACAACACAACACAATTCATTTGTTCGCACAACGGTCATAAAACGGAGCCCAACTCCCGTTTTCCAAACATTTGTTCTCTATGCGTTTTGGTTTTTCCTTTTTTGCCTTTTTGTTTCTCGTATTGTGTGTGCTTTTGTGCAGTGGCAGAGAAATTTGAAAAATGGAAATTGATGATAAATGATATTGCTGACCAGCCAGCCAGCTAGCAAGTGAGCCGGGGCCTGGGAACTGGGCCAAAAGCTGTCAACGCATTTGACGCATGCGAATGTGGGCCAGGACAAGGGCCATGAAATTTGATATTATAGCCAGCAAGGACCCACCGAAAATTGTCGATGAAATTCCGAGTGTCTCTCTGTGGCTTTTCCAACATTAATTGAGATTGAAAAGAATTTGAAGTGGATATATACCACCATACACAGTCGAAAATGAAACGGACAAAATAGTTTTTATAACATTTTGTTGTTTTCGAAAGTAGATTAAATTGTAAAAGGTTTTTGTAGCTAAATGTATTAGTTTAAGGGTCGGTTTCTGGTCCGCTTGTTAACTTTAAAGTCTGGATAAAAACTTGAAAACGTAAGGGAATTCGGAATTTAACATTAATTGAGATTGAAAAGAATTTGAAGTGGAAATATGCCACCATACACAGTTGAAAATGTATCAATATATTTTTTTAACAATTTTTCAGTTACGAAATTAGATTAAATTATAAAAGGTTTTAGCAGCTAAATTTATTAGTTTAAGGGCATTTTTTCGTCCGAATGATAAATTTAAAGTACGGATAAAGCCTCGAGGGATAATTCTGAGTTTAATGCTTTCTTTAAATTTCACATTAATAACACTAGTTTACAGCCGAAATGCTCCCCAGCAATTGATGGCAAATTCTGTTAGATTTGGATCCCTAGATCACGAAAATAGCACTAAATTTTTTTTTCGATGGCACAGTTTTTTTTTAAAGATTTTTTAAAGTTTGAAACTCGAAATAAATCCGTTGAAAAATCATAATGGGTACAAACTTAAAGTTTACATCCTACCGAATAAAACAAGCCGGATATGGCCCAAATCCATGGAAAACTGGATTTATGGTGGATTTTTAAAGTTCGGATTTTTCCACTTTTTTCGGTTGACAGAGTCCAAATTTAAGATTTATCATAGGCGGCGACATGTAAACAAAAATGAGTGGTGACGGCAGCCTTTAAAAAATCTTAAAAAAAAAACTGTCCCATCGAAAAAAAAATAAGTGCTATTTTTGTGATCTAGGGGTCCAGCACTAACAGAATTTGCCATCAATTGCTGGGGAGCACACCAAGAATATTATTTTGTAAACTAGTGTAATATATCATTAATATCATTTAGATATTAAACAAGCTTATGGATTTTTCCTCTTAATATTTATACATTAGGTAAATATTATTTTTGAAATATTAATTCCTTAGTTAACAAATACCAAATAATTATATTTTAAGTAACAAGCGGACTTGCGTATGTACAAATATAGGAACTTCCTGCCACAGCACACAATCCATTACATTAACAAACAGCCCCAGAGTCAAACACAAATCTAACCATAATTCCCCCAGCTAGCTGATGAACAATTTAATTAGCATTTCATTTCATTTCAGTTTTATGATGGCACACGGACTCATTAACATTAACATTTTCATTTTTCAATTAACACAAGCGTAATAAATTCCGTGCCGGAGCGAAAGAAATGAGAATCAGGCGCACGCAAATTTTTTACAAAATGGACAAAAATGCAGAAAGTTACACAGCAAACTGGACCGAAATGGGAGAAGAGGAAAAAAAATGAGCGAGAAAAACTTTAATTAAAAACACAAAAGTTGCTTTATTTATTTAAAAACAACTACGACCAGGCCCGCGGCGAGTGCAATGAAAAAATATGTCTTCATTAACGACACAAACCGGCAAGTGCAGCGACAACAAAGCACACAATAAAAAATGCAAAAAATTACAGGGGAAAAAAAACCAAACGAAACGAAAAACAATAGAATGATTGTGGCAGGAGGAGGAGCTAGCAATAAATACAAAAGCAAAATGCAAAAACATTTAAATTTCAATTAAAACGGAGTTGGCCTGGGAAAGTGGGAAAAGCGCGGCCTAAAGTGGCCGCCCAAAAGAAAAGCCGCCCGCTGCGTTGCACAAATTAGAAAAAGGCACGGGGCCGGGGAAAATGCGTAGGGGCAAAGCTGGAATTATGCGGCGGGTGGAGTAATTGTCCGGGCAAACAAAGTGGGCAACTCAAAACTCGAGGCTCCTTTGTAATGAGTGTGTCGGTGGCTCCTCGCAAGATCTCTGCGTTCAAGTGCAGCGGGGTCAAAAAAGAAGGGCCACCTCCGGGCAGCTTCAAAGGTGGAGTACGCAAATTATGAAAAGCTGTGGCGGAGCTCTCTTTGTTCTGCTTTTTACCACTTACCTTTTGGAAGATGTGATTCGGATTGATGCCCAGTTCTGAAACGACAAAGAATATAAATAATTTAGTCATTGAAGGATATTATATTCTAAGGTTGATACTTATTATTAGCTCTTTGCATTGATAACAAATATAATTGTAATCAATTAAATTAAATTTTTATTATTATTATGGCTGCTGAAATATGATCGACTGTTTAAACTAATTAGTTTAAGGCCCTAATTCTCGTCAAAAATAGGTGCTATGCTTGAAAAAAAATAATGGAAATTGTTTGCTGAGGACGAAATTATGGGTTTTACGTAGATATCTTTCAAAATAAAGATATGGGAAATAGGTCGGTTTTCGATTGAGACCTAACATTTCAGTAAATGGACTTCTCGAAACGCCTATTAAACTATTCTTAATTCTTATTGACAGTTAATGTTACAATAAATCCAATGTATAGGTCCGCTTATTCTAATTTCATCAAAATATGCATCAAAAACAATGAACCTAGATGACTATTTAGTTATTTATCGTTTATATTATGCCGTAGGTATTATCTAGATAGATTTTAAAGTAATAAGCGTAGAAACAGATTGATGCAAGTCAAAGATATTTATCAAAATAAAATTATAATATTCTTTCTCAAAATATGCGGTATTTAGGGTGGATAATTACTGTAGTTTATGAACTTGAGAACGAGAAAACGTCACAAAAGTTGAAAGTACTCTTCATACAAACGACACTCGAAACTTTAGAAAAATAATGATTACTAAATATACGCGCCGGTTTTAAACAATACAAAATTCGGATTTGAAATACATTCCTAGACTTTATAAAATTACTTTAGTTTATGAACTTGAGAACGAGAAAACGTCACAAAAGTTGAAAGTACTCTTCATACAAACGACACACCAAACTTTAGCAAATAATGAATACTAAATGTACGATCCTGTTCTAGATTTTAGACTATAGCAAAATTTGAATTTTGGAATTACATTAATATGAGGAACTCGATGGACATGGAAGATTTCTAGACCCTTATAACATCGTTGTTTTCGATAATCAAGGCCATTCGATAAGAGATTCTTATTGGCTAAGCTCCGGATTTTTTCCGAAAATACCAAAGCTACCCTAAATCTTAGAGCTAAGTGATAAGCCCTTATTTGAAGCCCCTTCTCACCCTCCAAAAGTGGGGGTTCGTCGTCAAACTCGTTGCCGGCTCCTCCGGCGGCGCCTTGCTTCCCGCTCTTGTCCTGGCTGAAACTGGGATCGGAGTAGGCCGTGGGATCGTAGAATCCGCCCAGTCCTTGATTCGCAGGCTGTGCGTAGGTCGCATCATAGTTGGGCGGCACCGAGGCCTGTGTGTTGTCGAAGGTTTGGAAGTTCCTGCAAGCAAGTGGAGCAACAATTGTGGGTGCAAACTGGAATACCCGGGGCCCTACTCACAGTTCCTGACCAAATTCCGGCATGTCGAAGTTGTAGCTGGCATCTGCCGAGGGCGCAGAGCCGTAGAAGTCGTTGGGGCCGCCAAACTGAGACATAATCACTTTAATTTAAGCACAATTCATGAATTTACGAATTACAATCAAAATTTAACAACACGTCAACAATGTGACCGCGGAATTGTTTTGGGAAAAATACTTTTAATACCATTTTTATTTATTCAAAAATATCAAACGGTCACCCTGAAAATATCGATGCCAAAATGGATACTATCGATAGTTTAACTAGTCCTTGGGCACTGTAAACTCGGTACTGTTATTTCTATTACTGTTAACCAGAAACAGGAAATGCGAATTTTAACGAAATATTCTATTATTTTTAATGCACTTAAATTAAAAATTCTTCAGAGTGATTTTTAATAACATTTAAAGTATAAAAATAACTATTTCATTTTCATTACTTAACATTCACTTGCAAATGCTGGGGTGCGGAATATATTTTAAAATAAATTTGTTTTCTAGTTTGTTTTTACTACAAGCTAAAAATGCAATACAAAATTAAATGAATTAATCAAACATAAATTGTATGCAGTCTGTATGTATTATCTCATTATCCCAAATTTAAACACATTCCTTTATAAAACAGAGATAAGTAAAAAACACCCTCGCTTTTTGTAACATTCATAATACATTTTATTTCCATAGCTCCATTTGCAACACACACAAGTTACTGAAATAGCTATTCTTCTTTGGTAGTAGAGGTACATGCTTCTGGGGCTACGTTGTTATTGCGTTCTTTAAAGGTCTATAATATGTAGGAATATAATATTTTGTAATTATATAAAGTTTCAAACTCCCTTTAGATTCGTTTAGTTGGTTTAGTTTCACACAATAGGGTAACGAACACAATCGATAACTATATGAAAATTTACTAACAATACATAGTTGTGAATTATAATTATATATCAACATAGATAGTTATACATATGTGTCGTATATGTATGGTATTTATGTTTATGGCTGGTTTAACTGCGTTTCACTTTGCGCTACCGACTAATTATTGTTCGTCTTTCCTAACTCGCCGTCATCGTGTGTTTTTTGTTTTGTGTATCTTCTGTTGATTCGATTCTGACCTGACTAGACCTGAAGCGGGCCAAAAAACTGTTTGTTTAACTTATAAATAAACTTGGATTCAAATATCTTATTATGCATTATGTAAATATGACTAGATTGAATGGGGAATTCGAATAATAACCTAGCTTTGGTTTCTTATTTCGTTTGGTTTGCTTCTTTTTCCATTCCTCTCGTTGGGAAATCCCGCAGTTGTTCTTATATGGCACCGCTTAATCCTCCAGATTTCGGAAGGCCTGCTGCAGGTCCTCGTACAGCTGATCGTAGTCCGCCTTGATCTTTTGCTCGCCGTCTTTCACGGGGTCCTAAAAAGGAGCATTATTAATATAATATATTATAATATTATAATATAAAACATACCTTGAACTTCATCGATGACAGCTGATACATAATGCCGCCCATCGACTCCCTAATGGTGTTCCATGTGATCTTGTTGTCCGACTGGGCTGTGGACTCGACGGCATGTCGGGCGGTCTCGTAGAAGGACATGATGTTCCTCAGCATGCCGACGGTCTTGTAGAAGGGACACACGCGATCGTAGGGCGAGTAGGAGTTCTGTTGCAGGAAATCGTCCTTGAGCAGCTTGGCCACTTCCAGGGTCACTTTGTCGGTCTCGGCCAGCGAGGCCTTGCCCACCAGTTGCACGATCTCGGACAGATCCTCCTCCTCCTGCAGGATCTCCTTGACCTTGGTCCTCAGCGGCACAAATTCGGGGAAGTTCTTGTCATAGTATTCATCCAAAGCACGCATGTACTTGGAGTACGAAATCAGCCAGTTGATCGAGGGGAAGTGCTTGCGCTGGGCCAGCTTCTTGTCGAGACCCCAGAACACCTGCACGATACCCAGGGTGGCGGAGGTCACGGGATCGGAGAAGTCACCACCAGGAGGCGACACAGCGCCCACAATGGACACGGAACCCTCGCGTTCGGGGTTACCCAAGCACTTGACGCGCCCAGCACGCTCGTAGAAGGTGGCCAGTCGGGCGCCCAGATAGGCTGGGTAGCCGGAATCGGCGGGCATCTCAGCCAGACGACCCGAAATCTCACGCAGAGCCTCGGCCCAACGGGAGGTGGAGTCGGCCATCATGGCCACGTTGTAACCCATGTCACGGAAGTATTCAGACAAGGTGATTCCAGTGTAGATGGAGGCCTCACGGGCAGCGACAGGCATGTTGGAGGTATTGGCCACCAGGGCGGTACGCTTCATGATGGACTCGGTCACTCCGTCGATTTCGCAAGTCAGTTCGGGGAAGTCGCGTAGCACCTCGGACATCTCGTTACCACGCTCGCCGCAGCCGACGTAGATGATGACATCGGAGTTGGAGTACTTGGACAGGGCCTGTGGAGAGGTGAGGAGATGATGGAGGATTAATAAATAAAGAAATCAATTACGTAATAGATTATAACTATTAAAATAAACTTTATAGTATCTTTTCAAGGACTTAAAAGCAGTTAAACCTTTGAAATATATGATTAACCCCAAGTTATCATACACCCAAAAAAATCGATATGAAACGTAGATCGATTTTACATTATTTAAGATCAATTTTAATTTCATATGTGGCCAGGTAAATTTGACCTGGTCGAAAAAAGTATTTCATTTAAAAACGATATGGGTTCTGTCTGATCTGAAATTTACATGGCCATATCGATTTTACGGGAACATGATTTTAAACTAATAAGCGTATAAACAGATTGATGCAAGTACGTTTAAGCCTTTGAAATATATGATTAACCCTAAGATATCCTACACCCAACAAAAAAATCGATATGCAACGTAGATCGATTTTATATTATTTAAGATCAATTTTTATTTGATATGTGGCCAGGTAAATTTGACCTGGTAAGAAAAAGTATTTCATGTAAAAACGATATGGGTTTTGCATGATCTGAAATTTACATGGCCGTATCGATTTTACGTGTGTTGTGTATAGCTTAGTAATGGACTACAGAACGACTTACCTGCGAGATTACAGTCTTGCCGCAGCCAAAGGCTCCGGGGATGGCAGTAGTGCCGCCCTGGACGCAGGGGAAGAGCGAGTCGAGGACGCGTTGGCCGGTGAAGAGCGGATGGTTGGCGGGCAGCTTCTCGGTGACGGGACGTGGCTGACGCACTGGCCACACCTGCAACATGGTGTGCTTGGTGATCTCGCCGTCGAACTCCGTCTCCAGGACTATGTCCTCCAGGTTGTAGTTGCCCGCCGGGGCAATGTATCGCACCGTTCCCTTGGCCCTGGGCGCCACAATCATGCGCTGCTTGACCAGCGTGTTCTCGTGGACCACTCCGTACAGATCTCCGCCGGTGATGTGCGAGCCCACGCGCACATTCAGCGGATTGAATTCCCACATCTCCGAGCGGGACAAAGCGGTTGTGTTCACGCCTTTGGGTATGTAGATGGAGTTGGTCATCACACCAATGTCCCTCAAGGGACGCTGGATGCCGTCGAAGATGCTGCCCATGATGCCGGGTCCCAGCTCCACGGAGAGGGGCTTGCCGGTGCGCAGGACGGGATCGCCTACGGTGACGCCGGAGGTCTCCTCGTACACCTGGATGGTGGCCATGTCGCCCTCCAGACGGATGATCTCGCCCACCAGCTCGTAGTAGCCGACGCGGACCAACTCGTACATAGCTGATCCCGACATGGCCTCCGCGGTGACCACTAAAAGGGGATAAAGAAGGAGCAGGGGGAGAAGAATAATTAGTAGGAGAAGCAAGAGGATGAAGAAGAGGATGAACAGGAGAAAGATGAGACGCAGGATCAGGAAGAAGAGAATTAAGGAACGAATCAGGAGGAGAAAAGGAATTCGAATTTGTAGCAGGATGAGAATAAGGAGCAGCCGGGGGAGAATAATAATTAGCAGAAGCAAGAGATTGATTACGAAGAGGATGAAAAGGGGAAAGATGAGATGCAGGATGAACAGAAAGTGAAATAAGGAACCAAACAGGAGGAGAAAAGGAATTCGAATTTGGAAGAGGATGAGAATAAGGAGCAGGAATATAAAGAAGGAGCACGGGCAGGAGAATAATTAGTAGGAGAAGCAGGACGATGATTACGAAGAGGACGAAAAGGAGAAAGGTGATACGCAGGATCAGCAGAAAGAGGAAGGAGGTAAGAAGCAGGAGGAGGAGCAAGGGGATTCGAATTTAAAGAAGGATGAGAATGAGAAGTAGGAGGATAAAAATGAGTAGGGGAAGAAAGAGAAGCAGGGGGCACAGGAGGAGCAAAGAGATTATAATTTTGAGGATAATAAGAATGAGAAGCAGGACGATAAAAATGAATGGGGGAGAAAGAGAAGCATGAGGATAAGAATGAACAGGAGGAGGCACAGGAGGAGCAAAGAGCACCCAGAGATTAGCCAAATCTGCGGGGTCAGCGATTGAAGGACGCTGGGGACGTCGCTTACCTGGTCCCGAAACAGCGTAGACACGGCCATATTCCGACTCGCGCTCCTCGTCTTTGAATTTCCTCAAGTTGGACATGGTCGCGGTTGCTTCTCTTCTTCTTCTGCTTCGGTAACGGTCAAAACGCTCGTTGGCTGTCGATCGAAAAAAAAGTAACGGTTAATAAACAAAAACACACACATTTTCCATGCACCCAAATGAGTTTTCCGTGTGCGCTGCTCGGTGAGGAAAATCGTAGATGGCGCTGTTGTGCAGCAGCAGCAGACAGCAGCCCCCAGTGAAAAGCTTCACACCCCCGCAACCCAGCATCGATTTTCCAATACAATTTTCACGCATGCCATGAAACGGCCAGCTGAATTTTCCACATTTCCCGCTGCACAACAGTGTCTTTTGCATTTTCTATTCACTACGCACGTGTAGTTTCGGTTCTAGCTTGTTTTATGCGGTAATTACTGTTTTTTTCGCTGTCCTAAAATTAAATATGCTCACATTTGTTTCACCAGCTCTTATGAAAATTCTCTTGCTTTTTTGATTTTACTCTAGTATTGATCTATCGGTTATCGACGAGGGTGCCAGGTTCTCGATAGAGGTGGACTCACGACAAACTAACACATAGCACGCACTATAAATTTGCAGATTAATAGGCTGATTCCATCGGCACATATTTTCACATTCAGCTAAATTTTTTATTTGCATTAGTTATTCCGTGAAAAGAATTTAATTGTCATTAATTTCAGGGATATAACAACTTCAAGGGCCAAGAATAATGAGAACATTTAAGGAAATATATTTATTTAGTCGAATGTGAAGGAAATTTATTATCTTTTTCTGTTGTACATTGTACGTGGGCAGCAGATCTATTCTCGCTTGGGGGCTGTCCATATATTAAGTAATCATCTGGGGGAAAAGGGAACAACCAAATGATAACTCTAATGCAAAATAATATATTTTTTATGAAGAAATGATTATGTGAGGAGTGGGGGTGTTTCAAAAATCACTGAAATTGTGATTACGTAATGATTACAGCCCCAAGTGGAAAACTGCCAACCACTGTAAAGCATAAAAAAGTCCCTTAATTTTGAGAATATAGATCAGTGGCGAATCTAGGATTTCGTTTTTGTTGCATACTTTTTGAATACCAAAATTCATTAAATTTTTCACCCGAGTGGTGGGTTATCTATCACCCGCCATGGATCCGCGCAATTTTACTTTTTTAATATAGGTTAGAAAGTTTTTTAACACTACTATTAAACACATAAAATTCCCCGTTACGTTTTGATCATACAATTGATAAATTTACTAAAGGCATTCAAATGAGAAAAATCAGTATTTTTTACACAAAAAAAATGCCAACGCCGCATATCGCCTATCGATAGCCGGCTTCCCTTGTTTTGCAACCCTGGTTGTCAGACTGCGAAAAAATTCGGGGAAAGGAAAGCATTTTTTTGGGGCCGAATTAATTGTGCAGAAGAAAAAAACGTCGAGAAGCGTGATTAGTTAATAGAGACCAGGATCCAGCGACCAGGTAACTCCGGATCAGCAGCAGACGGAATGGACTACCGCCAACTGAAGAACGACGCTTACGGCATTGGCCAGCGGCGTGGTGGAGTGGGGAGCTCCGGCGGAGGAGGCAGTGGAGGCGGTGGAGGAGGGATGTACTCCTCGAACTTCGGCGGCGGCGGAGGAGGAGGTAATCCCAGTGGCGGTGGCTACGGCGGCAACCGGAATCTATCGGCGGATATGGGTAACTTCAATCGCGGTGGCTACAGCAACAACAACAACAGCGGAGGCGGCAACAACAATTACCAACGTCCCGCCGACGATCGCTCCTCTTTTAATCCAAACAATCAGCGCTTCGGCAACTCTGGCGATGATTTCCAGGACAACTTCCGCGGTGGTCCGTCCTCCAATTTCGGCCAAGTGAACAGAGGAGGAGGCGGAGGAGGAGGTCCAGGCAATGTGGGCAACCTGGCCCGCTTGCTGGAACTGGAGGCATCGCAGAACCGCCTACCCGGAATCTCTGCCAATTTCAACTCGGAACGCAATCCAGAGTTGAACTACCGTGGACCGCAGTCGCAGGGAAACGGCGATAGATACTTCAACGATGAGCCCAGGAATCAGGGATCCTTCGGTAACTTTGGACCCAACGATGGACCATCCTTTGGCGGCAATTCGGGAGCCCCTTTCGATGGCAACAATGGTCCTTCCTACGGCGGCAATAGTGGCCCCTCGTATGGAGGAAACGATGGACCTTCTTTCGGGGGAAACAATCCACGCAACCAGGGCAATTTCAACAATGACAACTTCGCGGGAAGAGGATCGGCCAACTTCGATGACCAGCGATCTGGTTTCAATGACGCCTACGGACGCGGAGGAAACCAGGGCAATTTCGGGCAAAATTCTGGTAACTTTGGAGACAACAATCGCGACTTGGGCAACTCGTACAATCGCCGACCGGTGGGAGGAGGAGGATCTGGAGGTCAGGGCTTCAACCCGAATGCGGGTGGCAACTACAGTAACAACAATTCCGGTGGCAACTACAGTAACAACAATTCCGGCGGCGGCTTCAGCAACAACATCAGTCGCAGCTTCAACGACGCTCGTAACAACTGGAACAATGCACAACAGCAATCCTCTTCGTTCCAGAACTCTGGCTATCAGTCGAACAGCGGAGGAGGAGGTGGCGGCGGAGGAGGAGGAGGCGGCGGACCCAGTAGCTCAGGCTGGGAAGCCGGCCAGCGAGCCTTCAACTCGAAGCGCAATCAGTTGCAGAAGATGAACTTGAACAATGGCGGATCTGTTCGCAAACCGGGACCGCAACCCGCGGCCAAGGCAGTCCAGAACTTGCGCAACAATCCCCGGGCGGCTGCTGCCATTGTCAACGCAGCGGGCAGAAATAATCTCCCCAACAACAACAGAAACAACCAGCAGAACAAGCCCGGAAATCCGCGTTCTGGCAATGCCACTGGTGTCCAAAAGAAACCGCCCAATGCGGCACCCAATCAGTATAAGGTCAACAACTTGGCGCCCAAGCCGAATGCCGCAGCAGTGGTTAACAAGAAGCCACCAGTGGCTGGACAGGCTGCCAAGAGTGGTCCCGCAGTCGTGAGGAGTGGACCACAGGCAGCCAGGACAGGCCCACAGGCTCAGAAGACGGGTCCTTTGCCAGTTAAGCCTGGCCAGCAGATAGTTAAAGGTGGGCCACAGGCAGGCAAACCAGCTGGAGTGCCCAATAGGCCACCAAATGCTCCCGGATTTCCTGTTCAAGTCGGTAAGTTTGTATCGCTCTATTAATGAGTATAAATATTCCTAAAATTTATATTTTATTCCAGGCCAGAAGCGCGTTGCTCCCGCTCCTCCGCTGGAAACTGAGGCCGCCTCCAAGTCGGTGAAAAAGTGGCGTCGCGTGGCCCGCAAGCGCGGATTCCTGATGGGCGGATTCAAGATCCCGTATCTCAATGACCAGCCGAAGAAGCTGCCACAGCCGGAGGCAGACTCGTATGCCTTGACCTTCTTCGAGCAGAACTTTAACTACAGTACAAACCAGGACGCCACCGAGGAGGACTTCTTGGAGGCGGCCGTGGTGCTCAACGAGGATTCGGAAGACGAGTCGGTGGCCGATGATGCCAAGTCGGCACGCAAGATTGCCAAGCGTCAGAGGAAGCGCCTGAGGTCCGAGTGGGCACCGCTGCACGAGGCCAAGAAGTACAAGGAGTGGGGCAACTGGTGGAAGGACTACAAGAATGTGGGCGAGGAGATCGACCAGCAGCTTTTGGAGTGCGGCAACCTCAATCTGGAGCACTGCTTCCTGCCCAATCTGCCGAAGTTAACTACCGAGCAGGTGGTCTACGCCATCATTAAGTCGGCTCACTTCGGGCTGGAGAAGAACGCCGATGTGCCGTACGACACAATGAAAACCATCTTCACCATGATGAACCGCACCTTCCTGGACAATCTTACGGAGCTGAACATGGTGGAGATCCAGGACATTATTCGCGGGATACCCAACGATCTCTGGGTATACAAGTTGCGCAGCATGGTCTACCTGTGGACCAAGTACAAGTCCATTACCAATTCCAAGTCCACCGCCGAGGAGGACGTCAAGGATCAGCAGGCCATTGCGCGCGAGTGGAAGAGTCCCTGCTTCCACTGGCTGGCCAAGCAGGCCTTTGATGAGCTAGTGGTGAGTTGAGATGATATTCCGTAGCTTGATAGCTTACTAATTCCCTATCCCTACAGGCAATCAGTGAAACCGAATGGAAAGAACACCGAAGCATCTTTCCCGCTTTAGATTAAGGGATCTTGAAAAACTTTGGAAAGCACTCACCCTTTCTCTACTCAACTTTTGAACCTACACAAGATCTTCTTCAGGACTATTTTATGGATTATACATATATGAGTATCTAGTTGTATTAAAAACCCCAATTGCACACATTATGAAGATTCATCCTGACTATATAACGTAGTCTGTAATTAGACCAGAATGCTTATACAAATAAAGAACAAACCCGGATGCGTGTATCTTGCGCTCTGGGGGAAACAAAATAATATTGATCAGAAATGTTCTTCCTACTAGGAAGTCAATAGCAACTATGTCTTGTATCTCTCCAAAACACTCGTGTGTATTAATTTTTGGTAAGAATTAACCTCGAGTTGATAACATTTTATATGACACTAGAAAAATCCTATTTATAAAGAAGTAGCTTGTAATTGGAATGAATAAAAAATAAATAACCGGCCCAAAAAGTGGATTTTCTTGTACGGGAATTACAAAATTGAGTAACTTAGGGCATGCATAATATAATTGATAATCAGATAAGATATGATAGTAAAAAAAGACTTTGGGATTTAAGGGCAGAATTAAATATGCGAGAGATGTATTTTCAAAACACTCGTGTGTATTAATTTTTGGTAAGAATTAACCTCGAGTTGATAACATTGTATATGACACTAGAAAAATCCTATTTATAAAGAAGTATTGGGATGAATACAAAATAAATAACAGGCCCAAAAAAAAGGATTTTCTTGTACGGGAATTAGAAAATTAATGTTTTTGGGTAACTTAGGGCCTGTCATTAAACTATTTATAGACCATTTAAATAAAAACTGATAAGATATGATAGGTACCACAAAGCAGTAATTATAAAAACCACATAAACCATCAGGTACAAATTATATCTTTCTTTGGGATTTAAGGGCAGAATTAAATATGGGAGAGATAAGATATTTAGAAATTCCTTTAGATGTCTTTAACAATTTTATTGCCAGCAAAAATGTTTTACAAAGTGTTCGAAAGTGTCTTTTTTTCAGGCGAATTATGAATCCAATTCCAACTGGCCTTATATAATCATGGTTTTTTGCCTTTATGGTTTAACAATTAGGCACCCAGTTGCTTGTAGAGAATGGGCACATAGTCATCGTACTCGGCCTGGTAGAGATTTCCGGCGACTGGATCGCCGAGAGCGTACTTCCTGGCGAAGTCGGCGATCTTGAAGCCGCCGCGTCCATCGCCGCTGTTATTGGGCAGCCGCTTCTCGTCGAAGGTGATCTTGATCCTCTGCTCGTAGACGAGGAACACGTAGCGATGCAGTCCGGTGTCCGGCGGCGGACCCGATCCCACGTAGGCGGAGAGAACCTCGCCCTTGGCGACATCGCCGCCGGGAATGTTGCCCACCAGCCAGTGGTGCCATTCGCGGAACTTGGGATCCTTGCGACTCGGGGCATCCGGATCGGTCATGCAGAGGGTGTACAGCTTGTTGGCATCCGCCTCCCACTTGACGCACGGCTCATCCTTCACCTGGGTGGGGGTCAGCACCTGGCCCGGCTTCACCACAATATCGCCGGGATATTCGACCACAGCGGTCTGTGCCGGTGCCTTGGCAATCACGTCCGGGACAACGCAGTGCTCCTCCATGGTTTTGACCAGGTTTTCACAAGAATACAGCCGCTGAGTTGGTTTAAATGCAGAGATCGATTGATGGGCTAGGAGATTGTGTCCGTTTTTCCAGGTTTGCAGCGTTCTAATGGCGGCCGGAGAGTTGACAGTCGAAAAACTACCATTCACAGCGGTCGATCGGGGTAAATCTTTCCAAAATCCTAGGTTCTGGCGACTGAGATTACGCAACAGCCTCAGGCGCACCAAGCTCATCTTTAATTTATTGCTTAATTTAGCCCAATCGGTTTAATTAAATAACTGTTTATTCTTTATTCTGACGTTTGTCAATCGGTAACTCTGCCATTCACCGGGAAGCCTCGTATTTGGGTTATCGCAATCGCAATCGCTATCGATAGCAGGGATATATTTTTAAATTTGGATGGTTCTTGGAAAATGTTTGATAGGCCTACTTATAGATTAGAACGCACTTTAATAACTCCGGAAAATTTTGGAAAACCATACAAATCATGGCCTGGGTTCCCAAATCCCGCTTCGAGCACGACCTAGTGCGCATGGAGCCGGATTTTAACCTGATCCATGGACAGATCGCTTACCAGGAGAAGAAGAAGATGGAGTTATCAAGAGTACCAGAACCCAGAAGTATTAGTGAATATCTTACGGACAGTAAAGATCACCATGGATCGCCGGGCGGAAAGGGGCGGGAAATCCGCGACTGTCTCCAAATGATGGAGAAAATCCAGAAAATAGCGGGCACAAAGCCGCTGGGGGAGCATGCTACCATGGAGGATTGGGAGGACACTCGAACGGCGGAGCAGGAGGCGGTGGCCATGATGCGGAACTTTGGGATGATGTCCATGAGCCAGGAATCACTACCTTACCTACCGGAGATCAGCATTCCAGAGATTAAGCAAGAAGAAAGCCAGCGTTTGTTTTTAATAACTGATCCTGAATTCTTCACGCCACGTAAGACACGCAAACCAAAGGATCTGGAACCAGCGGACCACAGTTCCAAAGATTCCGCGGATGATTCCTTTCACACGGCCGAAAGTTCGAGCAGCTGCATCTGGCTTTATGGACCTGGAAAGTCCCAAGTGAGCAGAGCATCGGAAAAGCAGAACCAGGAGAGAAAGCGGGAAAAGTCGGACACTTTATTTAGTTATATCCAGGCGATCCCAGTTGAGGCGATCCCAGTCAAGGGAAAAAGGAAGAACCAGAGGCCTTCCCAAAAAGAAAGACGTCGCCTGCAGCAACAAACTAACCAATAGGGTTTCCCTAATCTTTGATACAATATATGAACTATGACTAACAATTTTTATAATGTAGCACGAACTGAACTATTTAAAACTCTCATTTCATTTAGTTGTGAATTTACATAATCTATAAAAAGAAAACTATTTATAAGGACATCATGACAATATTATTATTAAAGTTATACTGTAAATCACTCTTAATAGTGTTTTTTAAAGTGGAATAAAATGAATACCCTATCAAACATATTTGAAATAATGAAAAAAAAGTCAATAAGTTTAGGTAAATCGTTTTCAATAAAGTTTCATCAATAATACAATTCATGAATTATGATTAACCATTTTCAAAATCGAGCACGTCTATATAAAAGTGGAATTTACATAATCTTTAAGAAGAAAACTATTTAAAAGGACATCATGACAATATTATTATTAAAGTTATATGTATTTACTATATATCCCTCTTAACAGTTAGGTGTCTTTTAAAGTGGAAAAAATGAATATCCTATCAAAAATATTTGAAATATTGGAAATAAAAGTCCCATCGTTTAACTAAATCGTCTTTAATATAGTTTCAGCCTAAACCTAAGTTCTTATGCTAGCGAATGTGTGGATAACAATATCGAAGGAACAATAGATGGGGATGTGATGGGTGTGAATGCAAGTGATATGCACAGATATTTGGATCAATGCGGAGTGAACTCCTTGTCCTCAGGGATGCAACTACACCTGATAGCGCTGTTTGTGTCAGGCCTTCCGGAATATGTCGCCCGATCCGTAGGACAGTCGTCGCTCCTTGGAGTTGCTGGTGACCAGCACCTCCTCGTCGAACTGCGACACCCGCTGCATTTTCGGTCGCATCAAACCGCGCACATCGTTTAGCGATATATCAATATCCCTGAAGGCATTGAGCAGAAAGACGGCGGTGATTACGATAAGGAAGCCGCACACATCGCCGAGGATATCGTCGAATCGCATGTGGGTGAACTCCTTGAACAGAATCGCAGATGCGGCTATCACCAAAGTGGTGAACATGACATAATAAACCGGTGTCACTATGCTGGTATTGAATATATCCAGCGCCTTGTTCAGGTAGTTCATCTGGATGGCTATAAACGTGACGGTGACCAGGATCAGGAACCAGGGCATCCAGGTGAGGAATACATTGCCCCCGTTGTTCAGCGTCTGCCGGATGGCCAAACCCAAGGCCTTGCAGGACATCACGGTGAGGGAGCCAATCCCCGAGCACAGGAAGATATAGACCACCACATTGGTGTGTCCATGGCGCGGGGCAATGAAGCAGGCCACGAAGACCGTGGAGCCAACGATGCAGATAACATACAGAATGAACACGGGATCGAGAAGCATGTCGAACAGAAGCTGCAGATCCTCCACTTCCTTCTCCTTGGGCGAGTGAATCACAATTATCGTGGATCCCAGGATGCACAGGAAGCAGCCGATCTTTCCCAGCAAATTCAGCTTCTCGTTGAGGAATCTGGAGGCCATCACCGCGGAGATTATCACACTCAGGGCGCCGAGGGGCGTGACCAAAGAGGCGGGGGCGAAGGCATAGGCCGCAAAGTTGGCCGCTTCTCCCACACCCACTGTAAAACAAAAAAGAAACAGAGACAGTTGGTGAGTCAGTGAGATAAGGGGTTGTGTTTGTCTGACAAAAAATACCCTTGCAGGCGGTATTCAAATTTTGGAAGAGGGTTTGCAACACATCTTCGATTCTATATAAAGATTAATGAAATAAATATTTATGCATATATGTATGTAGCTCTTATCTCCCTGTTTTATAGATTGTTACTTGAATGTTTACAAATATTCTAATGGAAACTATTACAATTGTACTTCTATAGGCTTATCTATGGAGTTCTAAAAACCATCCGTCTTAATTAGATTACTTTTCATATTTTGGAGATAGTTAAATGACACATAGAAGGAACGAAATATATGGAAATATCAGAAGGGGTAATTTTACAATCTGTTTGTACAAATTGTTTCTAATACATTCCTGACCTTGTTGGTACTTGAAACAGTGGATTTCGAACTTTAAGATTTAAAATAATTACAATCGGACTTCTGTGGAGTTCTAAAAAACATCCGTCTTAATTAGATTATTTTTTCGTATTTTGGAGATAATTAAGAACAGAATATTGAAATTTTAGAAGGGGTAAATTTCACAATCTGTTGTGCAATTGTCAAATTGTTTCTAATACATTTCTGACCTTGTTAATACTTGAAATACATAGTTGATCCCGTACTTTAAGATTAAAGATAAATTATTATTTGAAAAATAAAGTATACAATAGAGAGCCCTATGGATTAATCACTCTGCAAGGGTATTCCCGGAACCAAGTTACTTTTTTAAGTGTTCCACTTATTCGTCAGAAGACCCGTCTTAACTGGATTATTTTGTCGTATTTTGGATACATAGAAGGAACCGAATATTGAAATATCATTTCACAATCTGTTTGTACAATTGTCAAATTGTTTCTATTACATTTCTGACTTTGTTGGTACTTGAAATAATTGATTCCGTAATTTAAGATTTCTAATAAAGTATATAATAGATCGGGCTATGGATTAATCACTCTGCAAGGGTATTCCCCGAACCAAGTTATTTTTTTAAGTTCTCCACTTACTCGTCAAAAGACCCGCCCACCAGATCCACTCCCTTAGGTAACCGAATCCCCCGGCGGAGGCCCGAACCTCGCCGTATCTGCTCAGCCGGATGAGGGCCTTCTTCTTGATGATGAAGCTGGAGCCGATGAAGAAGCAGGAGGAGATGGCCAGGCCAACGCCGATGTAGAAGTCCGTGTTGGAAACCGCCTCCGCGACGGAGAGGGGCGCGGGACCCGGCGATTGGTTGGCTTCCCCCGGGAGGATGCCCCCGACCGTCATCGTCATCTGGGGCATCTGCAGTGATGAGGCTTCGCCGTCGCTGTTCATGGCTAATCCGCTCTGTTTCCGCTCCTTCTGTCCACCGTTTTGCACTTGGCAGTCTGAGTCACAAACAATGGATTTTGATGGCTGTATGTGGGCAGGGGGAAAATACCAAATTCACTTATTCGATTTTCTAGCTATAAAACATTCTAGCTATTTTTGCTATTCACAGGGCACTCCTCCTGGCAGCGAGAAAATACCGAATTAGCCAATATGATTTACTAGCTATTTTTGCCATTCACAGGGGAAAGGCAGCGGGAAAAAATACCAAATTCACTAATTTAAATTTCTACCTATTATATTTTCTAGCGATAATATTTTCTAGCTATTTTTGTCACTCACAATGGAAACCTCCTAGTAGCTGGTAAATAACAAATTAGCCAATATGATTTCCTAGCTATAATATTTTCTAGCTATTTTAGCATTCACAGGGACTCCTACTGGCTTTATCCGAACAGCGGGAAATACCAAATTCACCAGTATCTTTTTCTAGCTGTTGTTGCCATTCACAGGGGACACAACATGGTTGCATGCGGGCAGCGGGAAAATACCAAATTAGCCAATATATTTTTCTAGCTTTAATATTGCCTAGCTATTTTTCACATTCACAGAGGACATCGGGAAAATACCAAATCCACTAATTTAGTTTTCTAGCCATAATATTGTCTAGCTATTTTTGCCATTCACAATGGATGCCGCCGCCAAGCAGAATCAAAACAAAACGTGCGCCGGGCGAAGCAATGCCGCCAAAGTCGAGCAGCAAGAAAAACCAGGCCAGTTGGTTCCACTGCGAGTCCTGCGGCGTCCACATTCCCTCCAAGGCGCGGGATAACCACGAGGCAGCCTGCTCCGCCCTCAGCCAGGACGATGGGGGCGGCGATTCCCAGGCGGAATACGTGCGCAGTGGGGCGATCTTCACGAGAAGCCTCCAGCAGCGGAATTTCGAGGTGGAATCCCTGAAGGATCTGCCTGCCAAGTATGCCAACATGCTGATCTTCGTCTCCGAAGGAGCCATGCACCTGGCCCAGCTGCACATTGGTCAGCATGTGGTGCTTGAGGCTCCTGCGACGGCGGAGCAGCCGCTGGTGAGGATTGTATGGCCCATTTCGGAGCAATTCCTCACCACGGTTTTTGTGAGCGAAGCAGGTGGGTTATATACGTTATAGTGAGGTTCTGATATACTAATAATTATAATCCTCCCCAGACTTCAAGCTCCATTGCACGCAGCTGCGGGGAAAGTTCCTTAAGATCTCTGCCTTGGATCCCAGTTGCCTCACTGCCGCCTCCAGCATTTCTCTAAGGCATCTGAACAGCACAGAGATTCCCCTAAAAACCGGACAACTCCAGGATGCCATTGCCCTGCTCAAAAGAGACATGGTCAATAGAGTTTACAGCAAGGACAGCCAAATCCACATGAATTTCTTCAACAAATCGCTGACTTTTCGCCTGGAGCGCTGGCAGGGCACCGTTGAAGATGCTCTGGCCAATCTCAGTCTGGATTCCAAGCCCTTGCAGTTTGTGCAGGTCACCAATGTAACAAAACTCCAGTTGATAGGGGAATCTAACGAGCAGCAGCAGGAGGAGCAGAAGATTAGCCACCGGATAACCAAATCGCAGATAGGAGGACTGGATAGGCAACTAGAGCTGGTCGAGGAGAGCATGGAGTACGCCTTGGGCTTCCGGGCGTTGCCTGCAGGTGAGTTTAACCCAAGATAAAAGGGAATTCAATCTGATTTACTATTTTCCCCTTTTTAGGCCTCCGTGTATCCCGCGGATTGCTTCTTTACGGCGCCACCGGCTGCGGCAAATCCATGATTTTGGAAGCCATGTCCGCGGTGGCCGAGGAGCGAAGCCAAGGAAATGTCCAACTGATCCGCATCAACAGTGGCGAAGTGTACAGCAAATTCCTGGGCGAAACGGAACAGAAACTGGCGGCCATTTTCGAGCGTGCCTACAATCACTATCCGCATCCAACTCTGCTGCTAATCGAGGACGTGCACAACTTGTGTCCTAAGCAGGAGAACAGCGATCTCGTCAAGCGCGTCTCGTTGGCCTTTCTCTCACTGCTGGATCAACTGAGTACGCCCAGCCAACTAAAGGGAAGCAGGACCTTCCTGCTGGCTACGAGTTCACAGATTGAAGCTCTACATCCAAGCATTCGGAGAGCCGGTCGATTGGACAGTGAACTCGAATTGGGTGCTCCCAGTTCGCAGTCGAGGAGGGACATTATCAGCTGCCTGCTGCAGTCGATGGAGCATCAGTTGAGTGAGGAGGAAATCGAGCAAGTGGCTTCTATTACCCATGGTTACGTGGGCGCAGATCTAGCGAATCTTGTTTATGCTGCCATGCTACAGGCGCAGCCGAATCCCCTGAAGCTTCTGCACCTCCAGTCTGCTCTGACTCGCATTAAACCCTCGGCCATGCGAGAAGTTCTCATCGAGTGTCCCAATGTTCAGTGGTCCGACATTGGCGGTCAATCCGAGCTGCGATTGGCCATGCAGCAGGCCATCGAGTGGCCGCTGCTGCATGCGGAGAAGTTCCAGCGGCTGGGCATCAAGCCACCGCGGGGAATCCTCATGTTCGGGCCGCCGGGCTGCTCTAAAACTATGATTGCCAAGGCCCTGGCCACCGAGAGCAAGCTGAACTTCCTGTCCATCAAGGGACCCGAGCTCTTCTCCATGTGGGTCGGTGAATCGGAGCGAGCGGTGCGCGAGGTGTTCCGAAAGGCACGCCAGGTGGCCCCCGCCATTGTTTTCTTCGACGAAATCGATGCCATCGGCGGTGAGCGAGCCGAGGGCGATGGTTCCGGCTCGGGTTCCTCTGTGAAAGAGCGCGTTCTCACGCAACTGCTCACCGAACTGGACGGCGTGGAGGCCCTGCAAAACGTGACCATTGTGGCGGCCACCAATCGTCCGGATATGATTGACAAGGCGCTGCTCCGTCCGGGTAGAATCGATCGAATTCTCTATGTGGGCTTGCCACAGAGTGTAGCACGAAGGGAAATCTTAAAGATCAAAATGCGAGCCATGCCAATAGCAGAGGAAGTGGACTTGGAGAAGCTGGTGCAGCTGACCGAGGGATATTCCGGAGCAGAGATCCAAGCCGTTTGCCATGAGGCTGCTCTGCGGGCCCTGGAGCAAAGCTTCGAGGCGGAGCAGGTCAAGTGGGCAGACTTTCTGCACGCGTTAGAGGCAGTGCCTCCAAGGACCAGCCCGGAACTCCTAAAACTATATGAAGATTACCTCAAACGGAAGTAGGGCAACCTGTCAGCCTTGAATTAAAGGCTTAAATTTCGATTGTATATAAAGAAGATTACCTGAAACTGGAAATGGAGGAATTTATGACTGTTTTGGGAGAAACCTATATTTAAACTAAACCAAAAAAGATTACATTTTAGGTATAATTACAGATCAAATGGGATTAGAGATGTTAAATTCTAAAAGAAAAATTAGAGCATAATTTATATTAAACAAAGACGTTTGCTATAACCTTTCCAAAGTTATTTACTGGAGTAGCCCTAAAATCAAACTGACGATTGTAAAATAAACCCAAATGTGAGATATACTGTCTACCTTCGTATTTAGACAGTACGGGAAACCTAATTTAGTATGTACAGATTAGGCTAAAAAGATAAGATGGCAAATGCAGAGTTATCAGTAAACGTGTATGCTCTATTTTTACCCATTTTCAAATTCGAGAGTACTTTTCTCTTTTTTTATGAATATTGAGAGAGTATCATTGAGCATTAAGCGAATTTTCAATTAATGCGTCACTCAATTGACACTAAATTGATGTGGAACAACCCCAGATATGTCTCGAATTAAGGAATTTATTTTATGTTGGTGAAGCAACTGATTTTGCTTACCTTGCATTCAGTAAAGCGAGAGAATTTTGTGGGCAACAGTAAATAAACTAAATAAATAAATTTTTTGAATGTTTTTCTTTTGGACAGATTTTTATATTTCTTTATAATTTATGAGCAAATCCATAAATGTTTAAAAAAAGTGGTTAGGGCTACAAGTTAATTGAAAACCTATAGATATTACAATGTTCCTATAATTTGTATTTCACGGTCTTCAAAGGTCAGACAGTTGATGCAAATAGTATTTGACGTATGAATAGTATAATTTTAAAAATAATACCTATGTTTTTTATGTGCCTAATGTAACTTATGTGTCTTATCAATAAAAAGTCAGTGACCTTATGCAAATAAAAAATACATTTACATATAAATTCTATTTCGCAATACACGAATTTTAATCACACAGTAGGTAAAATAAATATTTTTTGGCAAATAGATTGGCATTGTCACCAATTTAATGGTTACCAGGTAATTTATTTATTATAAGTTACAGAATATTTTTATTTATTCGATTTATTCATATAAAAAATATCCTTAAAAAACTGTTTTTAAAACATAATCTTTTATAATTCCAACCTCTTACCCCTTAGGGGCTGTCCATATATTACGTAATCACGTTTTTGGTGATTTTTGACCCCCTCCCCCCCCTGGTGATCAAACGTAATCATTCAATAAACAACCCCCCCCCCAATGATTACGTAATCCCCAGAATAAAATTTTTTTGTTTTAATCTGTGGATTCAAACGGAGATGCAACCCAATCTTTAATATTGTTTATAAATGAAGTTTGGTATGACACATTCGGTTCGTCTACGCTGATATTATCCCCAACATACTCTTCGTCAAGCCATTCCAGGTCTTCGCGCCCTTCGTGTGATTGAACCACTAAACATTCTTTTATTCGCCGCCCAGCCACTACAAAAATTTTTTCTCTGCTTTCCTATTTAAGTTTGTAGCAGGGACCGTAACTGTTATAAGTTTTATTTTAAAAATCACACTTTAACACTTATTTTCTGATTTGTAAAGTAAAACTCAAGGAATAACTGTTATTTTTTGAGTTTTATAATAAAAGTTGGCAAATAACAGTTATTCGTCGTGATGAAAAATAAAACTCAAACTTGATTTATGGCGATTTTGTGGGTAAAATAAATTTAAAAAAAATATAGGTATAAAATATGCACGGTTGCCTTTTTTAACAAATTTTTAGTAAGTTATATAAAACACGGGAATCATGTTTTTTTTAATTATTTCATTTTTTCAAAAATGTCAAGGGAATAACTGTTATTCATAAAAATAAAAAAATAACAGTTATTTTTTGAGTTTTATTATAAAAATCAAAAAATAAAAATCATTACGGATTTGTAAACTACAATGCGTGATTTTTTTGTATGAAAAACTTACAATAACACTTATTTTTGGTCCCTGGTTTGTAGATATAATTAAAGGAAAAAAGTTTTTAAATAAATTCTTTAAATAAAAAAATTAATATAAAATGATTACGTAATCATTGTACAAGACCCCCCCCTCCCCATGTAATCAAACATAATCATTTCAATGACCCCCTCCCCCCCCCTAGGTGATTACGTAATATATGGACAGCCCCTTAAGTAATATTAATTTATTTTATTTATGTGATAAAAAGTAAAATATTTTAATAATATTTTAAAATGGATTGTTAAAATGCTCTAAAATGTTTACTTTTAGAATATTAATTTATCTTAATCCCTTTACAAGTTAAGATTTCTGATTTTTCTAAAGTACTATAATGGATTTCCGAACCGTGAAATCTCAACCGGTTTAAGATTTTCGGTTGTTGTGTGTGGCTACTTCTGGCCAAGACTGTAGTCGCTTTCCGAGAGCGACCGGGAGACGGTCCGCTCTTAATTCACGCGATCAGTTGCCGGCTGGCGTTCGTCGCGTAGGTTACGAAACTATTCAATTGGCGCAACATCTGTCGCCGGAGCAGCTCCGATTGCCATAGCCCACCTGGTATTGTGGTATCGCAACTTACGACATGCAGAACTGGCTGAAGATCTCCCTGCTGCTGTGCACGTTCGGGTTTTTCCGGGAACTTCGGCCCTCGGAGCCGTACGTCACGGAGTATTTGGCCACGGACTACGGCAATCTGACCACGGAGCAGATTAACCAGGATGTGTACCCCTTCGGCACCTACTCGGTGCTGGCCCAGCTGGTCGTGGTGTTCCTAATCACCGATCTGGTGAGATACAAACCGGTTATCGTGCTATCGGCGTTGGCCGGGATTACCCTGTTCTCGCTGCTCATCTGGACGGAGACGCTGCGAATGTTGCAGGTGGCGCAGCTATTTTTCGGCACCTTTACGGCCGCCGAAGTGGCCTACTACACCTACATGTACGCCAAGGTCAGCAAGGAGCAGTACCAGATCGTCACGGGTCACACGCGAGCCGCCATTTTGAGCGGCAAGTTCCTGGGCGGCCTGCTGGCCCAGATTCTGGTGTCCACCGATAGCATGAGCTACCGGCAGCTGCACTTCATATCGCTGACCACGCAAGTGATCTCCCTGGCGGTGTCCCTCTTCCTGCCCAGTGTGCCGCGAAGTCTCTACTTCTATGCCGCCTCCGCTGGAGATCCCGCTCCAGGTGGCGAAGTGACCGCACCGAGGTTCTCCTTCTCCAACGCCTGCCGCCTGTTGTGGTACCACCTCGTCTCCTCCTACTCCAATCCCGTGGTGCTGCAGTGGAGTCTGTGGTGGGCTCTGGCCACCTGTGGGCAAATTCAGGTGAGTTGGGATTTCTATTTAAGAAAATCATCATCAATCAAATCACTAGCCGTCCGTCTGTATGAACGCTAAGATCTCGGAAACTACAAAAGCTAGAAGGCTGAGATTTCCAACACATATTTTTGGGCTTCCTAGGCAGCGCAAGTTTATTTCAGCCGAGCGCCACGCCCCCTCTAACGCCCACAATCGCCCACTAACAATTTTAAAATGTGTGGCGCCCACACCTTTAAAGATTTCCGAGAAGTATAAATGCAATTTTGTTCTGTACATTTATATCTATCAAAATGTCGAAGACATTTTTCAAATCGGACCATTCATTAAAAAGTTATGCGCAATCAAAATTGTATATACCCATCTCCCTTCCACAGCCTTTAGCTGAGTGACGGGTATTAGATAGTCGGGTCACACCCGACTATAGCGTTCTCTCTTGTTTAGTTTCAGTTCCCATAATCTAGCTATTACAAATTTGAAACAAGAAAGGAAGTTAACTTCGGCCAGCCGAAGTTTATATACCCTTGCAGATATGCCTACTTAATATGTTGCTTTTACATTGTCAAAAATCAAAACGCCTACTTTCTACAAATTTACAATGTTTTATCTATTTTTTTTATACCCTTGTAGAGGGTATTATAATTTCAGTCAGATGTTTGCAACGCAGTGAAGGAGACGTTTCCGACCACATAAAGTATATATATTCTTGATCAGCACCAATAGCGGAATCTATCTAGCTATGTCCGTCTGTCCGTCTGTCTGTCTGTCCGTCTGTCCGTCTGTCCGTTTCTATGCGAACTAGTCTCTCAGTTTTAAAGCTATCGCGATGAAACTTTCCCGAAAGTCTTCTTTCTATTGCAGGTAGTACATATGTCGGAGCGAGCCGGATCGGACCACTATATCTTAAGGCTCCCATAGGAATATTCAAACAAATATAAGAAAATTCACTGTAACTTTGTAGGAAGTAGGCGTTTTGATTCTTGACTACTTAAAACAAAATTTAAATAAATAGAAACGCTGAATCTGGAATCCCTAGAACTGCACCGAGTGAGCATTCTTTTATCTGCAAGGGTATATAAGCTTCGGCTGGCCGAAGGTAGCTTCCTTTCTCGTTTTTTGATAATTCCTATGGGAGCCATAAGATATAGTGGTCCGATCCGGCTCGTTCCGACATATGTACTACCTGCAATAGAAAGAAGATTTTTGGGAAAGTTTCATCGCGATAGCTTTAAAACTGAGGGACTAGTTCGCATAGAAACGGACAGGCGGACAGAAGGACAGACGGACAGACGGACATGGCTAGATGGACTCGGCTATTGATGCTGATCAAGAATATATATACTTTATGTGGTCGGAAACGTCTCCTTCACTGCGTTGCACACATCTGACTGAAATTATAATACCCTCTGCAAGGGTATAAAAAATTTGTTAGATATTTAGACTGAATAGTTTCAAGATAAAGTCAAGTCATTTATCATAACTTAAAGGAAAGGTTCATTAAATGAAAACAATTTTTTTAACGATTTATAAACCAAAAAAATAAAAAAATTATTATTAGTCAAGAAGTTGGTCAAAAAAATAGCACAATAATAAAAAAATGTATTTTAATCCCACAGGTAATTTCCTACATCCAGTTCCTGTGGAAAGAGGTGGCTCCGGATCACCAAAGCGTTTATAATGGCGGAGTGGAGGCAGTGGCCACTCTGCTAGGAGCTATCGGAGCTATTCTGGCGGGCTTGCTGAACTCCAATAAGCGACGAGGATCCTATATGTTGGGCATATCCATATGTTCCGCCATCCTGGGAGCCCTGATCATCTATGCTGCCAAGACGCAGGAAATCTGGGTGGCCTACGTGAACTATGTGCTCTTCTGCGCCGTGTTCTTCTTCATCATCACAGTGGCCGGTGCAGTGGTGGCCGAGAATCTGGTGGAGGACAGCTTCGGATTAGTATTCGGTATCAATACGTTGGTGGGTCTAATACTTCAGACCATCCTGACCATTTCGGTGGTGGAGAAAGTTGGATTCGCTCTGAATCCACGGGATCAGTACGTGGTGTACGGCAGCTACTTTATAGTTTTGGGTGGGATATACGTAATTTGGACTGTCTTAGTTAAATTGTTCTGCCGGACTAGGATATCAAAAGAGGGGAATGCGGCTATTTCATCATAGTATATTAAATAGTACAAAATAAATATTTTTTAAGGAAACAAATTAAAACAATTTCTTATGATCTTTTCTGCAATATTGTACATACAAGCTTTCCTAAGTGTCGGGTACTGAACGCACTGATTCCATTCTTAATACATAGTTGAGAATAAGAAATTATTTTACTTATAAATAGTATCAGCTAAGTCCAAGTAATTTAAAAAACCTTTCCATCTTTGAAAACTAATATTTCAAATATAAAACAAAAATTAAAAAATTTATCAGCACTTAAAAACCCTTTCCTACCGATTCAAAAAAAAGCTTCATTTTTAAAACAATATTAAAATACTGAAAAAAAATTAATGAAAAGGCATGCGTAAAATAACCATTTCCTAAATGAATTCAACGACTTTAAAATTTTTGTGAATATATCTTCACTAAGTATGGGAACATTTAATATTTATTTAACACATAAAATTAATATTTTGAATATTAAACAAATAATAATTCTTCAGAAATTACAAAATGTATCAGTACTTTTAAAAATCCTTTCTTACCGATTCACAAAAAGCTTCATTTTTAAATTAATATTAAATTCCTGAAAAAAAATATATTATTGGAAATGCGTAAAATAACCGTTTTCCTAATTCCGAATTCCAAGACTTCAAACTTCTTGTGATTATATCTTCACTAAATATGGAAACATTTAATATTTATCTAACACATGTATAATATTTGTACTAAAAAAAACCTATTGCAAGAGCAGATCCATCTCCTCCGCGTTCGAGGACATGAGATCTCGCTCCAAACTGGTGGTGGCTGCAGTCGCCTGGTTGAGGAACAGGTCGAAGTCATATCCATCGTTCTGGGCCGCAATAGAGTCCTTTTGGTTGCTAATGGTCTGCGGATTGGACAGCAGATCCACATCGTATAGACCCAGCTCCTTGAGCAGCGTTTCGTTCTCGCTGGTGGAATGGGAAGCAGACGAATCCACGGTTGCCTTGACCTCCATATTAATTATGGCCGCCGGCTGCTCAACAGCCTCAAAACCGCAATCGACTTGAGAAGGTGCGGAATTCGGATTATTGTTGGCCTCGATTTCATCGTCGTCCAGTTCCTGCGGCTTCAGAGTGCTCGACTTGTACTGGAAGTCCGTCTCCTTGAAGTCCACCTCGATGGGAAAGAGCGGCGGCAGCGAGTCCAGACGGTCCACCAAGCTGCGATGGAGTTCCGCCAAACTCTCCAGCAGGCTCCTCAGCTGCTGGTTCAGATCCATGGCATGTTTGCATTCCAGCAGCTCCATTTTCTCGAGAACATCGGTGCGGAGTTTGGCGAACTTGCTGCGTGCATCCTGGCGACATCTCAAAATCAATCTGTACTCGTAGTTTCCGGTTTCCACGCGATACAGTGGCTCCTGCAGGGCAGCAAAGCCATGCTCCTCATCGTCCATTTCCTTGACTTTCAGGCAATACGAGAGATATGTGAATTTGGCATCCGCATAGCGACGCACCGTGAGCTTTGTGTCTGGGATAGCCTTGTTCAGATAGGTACCCAGATCGGATAGAACTGGCTTTATCTGCTTGATAATACCCAGTCCGTCCTTCTCCAAGGTGCGATGGAACTCCCCAAAGGTGCGAAACGCCTCCGAGGCTCGCTGTTGCGGTTCGTGGACCGAAATCTGGGTGAAACAGTCGCCAAAGGACTTGTATGTCTGCAGGAGATCGTAGTAAGCTTTGAGCATCCGGCGCGCATGCTCCACCAGACCCTTGTACATCAGTTCAGTGCCCTCCAGTTCCTCCAGTCGCTTGACCAGCGAATCATTGCAGAGTATCGCCCGCGAGAGACCCAGCGTATCCGCCGTGTTGCTTGATAAATTGTCCACAATCCGATGCTTCAGCTTCTTCAGGATGATGTCCAGGGTCTTGCCCTGTTCGGGATCAGCGTGCAGCTTGTTGTAGTGCACGACCACCTCGTCGGTGGCCGTCTGGATCATTTTGGCCACCTCTACCTTCGTCTTGCCCTTCACGCTCACCGAGTTTACCGCCAAGAGTTCGTCTCCGGATTGCAGGGATCCCTCCCTCGCGGCGGGCGTTCCATCGAAGATCTGGGGATAAAGAGATAATAATATATATTAATTTTTAGAAATAATATAACTTAGGATCTATTTGCCACAGTATATGGGCACTTTAAATTGTCGCTTGAGACATTTGCACGCCTTCAAAGTTGAAAAAAAATATATTTTAATTTTAATAATGGGCTTTTCTTTTCACTCTTCCCAATCTCTATTTTGTGTAAAAATCTTGATTTTTGAACACTTTTAGTTTTCAAGATATTCAAACCAGAATTTATTGAATCCTGATGAAATATTTCCATGCGATTTTTAAAATTAAATTAAAAACAGAAGGCAAGTCCACAAAAATCACAAAAAAAATAAAAAAAACTAATTTTTGCGTATATTGATGGGGTTTGTCATAAAAATAATCAAATTATACTCCAAATTTTTAGTTTAGCTCAGGATCCAACTAATGAGAAACTAATATGGCGTCAAAATCATGTAGAAATTTATTATATTCAAGTTTAAAGGTTTTTGGCTTGGTGGACTTTTTGGTGGAAGTGCCCATATATAGTAATCTTAATAGAAAGACTAAACATATAATTCTATAAAAATCATATCAAAATCATATTATTTAAGCAAATCAATCCTAGTAGCCCTCTATATACCGAACATCAAAATAAATTCAAAGTATCGACTCTCAACACCTGAAAAACATTTGGCTAGCCAAATTATGACCACCACCAACTGGAACAAGTGGTCCGTAAAGGATTTTCGAAGTGAGTCCCATATCAGACCCAAGTTGATCCCGGGTTTCGATCGGCTGGATGGCAGACTGAGAGGGGTGCTCCGGGAGCAGGATTTGCAAATGGATTTGCTCAAGCGAAAACAGGCGGGTGGTGGCCAAAAGCAGAGAAGGGCCAACAAGCTGAAGAAGATTGGGAAACAGATCCCTCGGGTATGTGAGTTCCAGAAAGTGTACGCCGAGAAGCGCAGGGAGCTCAAGCGTTTGGCCAAAAACCAAAGAAATGAGTTCCAGTTCCGGAGCAGTCCTGTGCCCAACTTTGAGCGATCCCATCAGCGTTTGGAAAGGCGTAGGCTATACCTGAACTCCCTGCAGAAGGTAACGAAGCCCCAATGTCCTGGCACTCTGGCCACTTCGATGGAGGCGCTCCACAAACGCAAGGGGGAGCTGAAGCAGCGCCGGAAGCTGACTGACTTTGTGCCCAGCATCAATCCGGGGTCTTCCATGGACTATCTGCACCGCCAGCCCTTCATCCCGCAAGTCGAGTCCACCCACACCCGTCCAAAACCTTTTCGTCTCCACACTTCTGAGCGCGTACTAAGACGTCGGCTGTACGACGAGAGGAAAAGGATGCGAATGGATATGCAGATGGAGCTGCAGTCCAGAAACTGGCTGAAGAGGGAACGATCTGAATTCCGCAAGCTCCGCCAGATGACAAACTTCAAGGCCACTCCGATTCCCTGGAAGCGGAAAAAGGTCGTCGCCGCAGTGAAAGTAGAAACTTAAATTTCATAAAAATAAATTTTGAAAATTATGCTGGTATCCTACATTTAAAGTACTGAAAGGCCTTATTTTAAAAGCGTGACTTCCTCCTAAAAAGACCCCTACAATTTTACAGATATTACATCAAATTATGTTTATTTTAATGCTGATATTCTTTAAATTATTATTTTTCTTTAAACTTGTCTTTTAACTTAAATTTCAGAAAAGTAAATTTTTAAAATGATTTAAAGTACTGAAAGGTAGAGCTTGAAAATTATCGATGTCAGTATCGATATTATCGATACTTCTGATATTTTTCAAACATCGATGTTTATCTATAATATCGATGTTTTTCTGACGTTTTATTAGAGAGAAACGAACAGATTTCACTCTTTAATTTTGAGGACCAAAATAACTTTTAATACAAAATCACTTAAAGTAGGGACAAATTACCATGCAAGAACCGCGAGTTCTTGGTATTTTATTCTTCTTTGGTCCCATAGATATTATGAAATACTTAAAAGTAGGCGAAAAGGGCATAGGTTATGGCAAAAAATGGAAAATAAAAGAACCGCGAGTTCTTGGGAAGAGGAGGAACTTTGGTTTTTTTAGTACCAAAAACAAAGTCTTGGTTGCAGCTACCGACCTTCTGTCCGCTATTAAAAAATCTCAAGAAACCGCGAATTCATAGCCTTTGATAAGAATTGGTCGCTTTTCGAAGATCGTTTGAGCGATTTGGACTCAAGGATCCAAAAAAAAACCACCGCGAATTCTTCAGAAGAGGAGGAATTTTTACTTCTTTATGGTATAGTATCAATTAAAGTAGGGGAAAACAACCATAGGTTGTGGCATAAAATCGAAAATGAAAGAACCGCGATTTCTTGGGGAAAGGAGGAACTCTCGTTCTTTTAATACCAACAACAAACAAAACGAGGACCGTTTGAGCAATTTTGGCAAAGGATCAAAAAAAAAAAGCAACCGGGAATTCTTCAGAAGAGGAGGAATTTGTTCTTCTTTAGTACCAAAAAATGGTATGGAACAAAGGTTTGTTCTATTATTTTACATAAGTATTTCCTCATGATATATTTAAAAAAAAATTCTTAAGAAGCCGTGAATGTCTTTGACTAAGAATTGGTGTCTTTCTAGACATGTGACGCAACTCAACTCAATGATCAAAAATAAATAAACCACGAGTTCTTAAGAGGACGATCCTTTAGTCTGAAATTGCATTTTAATAATAATAATGCATTTTAATATTATTTAATGAATTGCATTTTTAAATAAATTACCCGCGATTTTTTATAATAATAATATTAATAATAATGTAATACATGTTATGCATGTATATAATAATAATACGTGGTATTAACAGAATTATAAAATTATTTTTAATTTGTATTTGCTTTCCTTGAAAACATCGATATTATCGATACGATAATGATAAAGTATCGAAAATATCGATACTGTCATTTATCGATAATTTTCAAGCTCTACTGAAAGGCCTTATTTTAAGACTGTGACTTTCTCCTAAAAAGATCTCTAAAATTTTACAGATATAACATCAAATTATGTTTATTTTAAGTATTAATAATAAATAAAATATTAAAATAATAAAATAAAATGCTGATATTATTTAAATTATTATTTTTTTTTAAACTCGTCTCTTAACTCACCTGCACAATGTAAAGACATGGGCACATGGGGGCTCCACCTCCAATGCTAATTCCAATCAGGTTGCTCTGATCCTTGGTTATGACGACGGCGTTTGTGCTGACAGTCATGCCCCTATTTTTTTAAATTGTTTATACAAAAACAAATTAGTTTAGCAAATTTCAAGGTATTTTCAAGCGTGAACTACGCGTGCTATATGATTTTAAATATATAATTATGTGTGGGTGATTTGATATCAATTTTCCATACGTACTCACATCGATCGGTGCAATTTTCTAATTAGCCATGTGACCAGTTCTAGTAAGGCCATTGGACTATATCAAATTTACCTACGGCTGTTTGGGAAAACTGTTGATCGGGGCAGTTTATTCTAAGACTTCGTGATACTGTGTTTTTTTAGGATAGCACTCCGAATGCCAATGGACACCTCGAAGTCAGTATAACTTGTTTAATTCACTAGCTAGCCTAGCTATAAATACGATATTGTTAGGTATAAGCATCTAGATCTCTACACACAAAAGAAAATCCTTTTTTGGTTGAATAAATAAGTAAAATAAAAGGAATTATCGTTAGTTCTAGTTCTGTTGATTTTTTTGTACAAAATACTATATAAGTTACAGTGGTCGCTCGAAAAAAAGAAAAGATGTAATGGAATTGTAAACTATTTTAATTAAATAATTTCTTAATTTAAAATAAAAAGGAGTTAAATAATCAATTTAAAGTATTTGAACAGAAACGACCATTTTTGTTTAACAAACATTAAATAAATATGCAAATAAAACAAATAGTATTTAAAATTAAAAATAATTTCTTAATTTAAAATAAAAAGGAGTTAAATAAACAATTAAAAGTATTTAAACAGAAACGAAAATTTTTGTTTAACAAACATTAAATAAATATGGAAATAATACAAAAAGTATTTAAAATTAAAAATAATGTATTTTATACAAACAAACAATTTAAATTAAATTAAATTAAATTAAATTATTAAAAAATTATTTTTATAATTCTTAAACATTTTTGAAGTAAAACTTGTTGGAAAAACGCAAATTTAAAATCTAGCGGCCACCGTGAAATAATATTCGAACGATACCAGGTCAACGGAGTTGACTTACAAACGGTCTAACTCATATTTCTGCCTATTGGCGGACTCGATGCCGAACCTGTCCCCGGATCCCGAATCGGAAATAAAGCCCGATGGGGAGCAGAGCATAACGGTGGCCTCGAGGGGAGCGACGGAGGGTTTCTCCTCCTCCTCGGGAAGATCCTTGGGCCGACGCACAACCTGTGCACTATCCCCATCCAACTGGATGAGCAGCGGCTCTGGCCTGAGTCCAGAGCGACAATATGTTTCGGGATGTGACGATTATTGATTTTTAACATATACTTTTGGCACATCGCAACAGATTGTTGTGCTCAAATAAAGCTAGGCAGAGAATTGTCGTCAGTTACTGGGCTTGCAAGCGATACTTACATCTTATCCTCCTCGAAGAAGAAGTCATCCTCGGTGTCCGTCAACATTTTGGGTGGTTAAAAAGAATATATTTGTTTATTTTGGCAACTTGAAATTCCTTCAACTGTCATCGGGGGCTCCGATAGCTGGTTTGAAAACTATCGTATCGCAAGGCGAATGGCAAACTCCAGGAGAAAATCGGGCATTCCCACGGAGCAACCAAAATGACCACTTGTTGCCTTGGAAACGCTGAGGCAAAACATAAACAAAAGATGATGGACTGGGCCGAGGAACTCAAGATGACCATAAGAAAGGTGAAAAATACTGTTTAAATGGGTGTGTACTAAACTTTGGATATATTCTTACCCCTAGACGACGGCCCGGAAGGGTCGGCGCTCCAAGAGTCGCGATGTCTTAAAGGAGGAGACCTCGCAGGCGGCTCCTGCAGGCTCCAAGGATATCTCCATCGACATCACCCTGAACGTCCAGGCAGGATCGCCACCCACCACTTCGGATACGGCCACCTCGTCCACCTACAACAATGAGTTCGAGTCGCATCGTCCACCCATTCGTAGAATTTCGGGAGGCTGGGCGGATTCTGGTCTAAAGGGATTAAAGTGAGTATGGTAAACCCATGAGTAGACTCATTACTGATTACTTCGTACCTTCACAGGTCCAAGAAGAACTCATTTGACGAGTAAGTTTATCTAAATGATATGTCTTAGGTTTAATCTTAACTTGCCACGTATTTTATCGCAGTGCTAGTCTATCATGAATTTTTTATTACGATTTTTTCTAAAGAAAAAGTTTTAAGAAGCTAATTTCTAGCTTTTTAATTTTCTATTAAAAAAAAGTTATACGAAAACTTTTTTATAATTTCGAACAAGAAAAGTAAAAAAGATTAGGACATTTTATTAAACTAACAAAGTTTAGTAAATTCCTTTTATATGTTTGTAAAATAATATTTTGTCATTTTCAGCGAACGTTTTAGGCAGACCAAGTCGGCTACAAATTCTATACCGACGGATGACATTCCCGTCATCCCAGATATGGATGATGTCAAGGATGAAATTATGCTCAATGAGATTGTGGAACCGCCTACGTAAGACTATAAGTTTTATGTACTACAGTAACTAAACACCTACCACTTTCAGCATGGGCACTTCTCGTTCTGCTGTCTTGAAGGAGGCCAATTCCGATTTGCTTTCCCAGTACGCCTTTTCCGCAGTGGATGGCTTCGATCTCTCAATTCTAACCGATTGCCTGGTTCCGCAGGAGAGTCTCAATGAGAAGGACGATCTCTGGCAGTGGGACAAACTCTTTACCGAGGTCACGGCTGAAATCCATTCGGATAAGGTGCCGAATATAGGCATGAAGATAGGCCCCGATGTCGTTCCGCCCACACAATATTCTTAGGAGATTTTACCATACAATTTTCAGTGCAATACAAATACAAATACTCAATTTAAAAGTTAAGGGATTACAAAAACATTTCTTGCCTTGAATGATCACAAAATATACTTATCAGAGATACTCAATTGAATTGTGAATTTTAAATATTATATTCAGTTATTGGATGGCTCTGCCAACTCCATCGAAAGCCTTATCCTTGTGGTCTGCGGCATTTGCTCGAGCCTCGTAATTGCAGATGGTTACACCATGATAGTGGGCTTCGGTAAACTCCCCTCGAAGACCTGGAATTATAGATAGTTAGTAATATCTAAACAGGATTCTATTCTATTCTACTCTACCTATATAATAAATGCGTGTATTGTCATCGCCAAAATTGCTGGGGAAGTATAGCGAGAGATGATGCACGTTGGAGAAGGTTACTACCTTGGGTGAGTACTCAATTTCTCCGCGGGAATCGCGGGTCAGGTGGAATTCCTGATCGGGTTTAGCTTTGGCATCGTCGAAGTTCATCCTGGGTCGGTTCTTAAAGCTGGAAATATATGATATATTTTTAAAAAATAATGATATACAACATACGTTAACCGAAATAGGGTAAGTACATATACTAAGAGGTGTTTTGGAAAAATGATTATATTGAAATGGTATTGCCTATAGCAGATTTACAGATTTTGAAAAGTTCTGAAATATTCTATATAAATAAAATAGGGTAAGTATCCTGAAAGGTCTTTTGGAAAAATTAATATATTGGAATAGTATAGGTATTCTAAGAAAATTTTTCAGATTTTTTTAAAAGAACTTTTTTATAAATAGTTTTGAAAATTTCTGCAATATTTTTTCTGAGTACCGCTTCTTACATTTTGACCCTGTTCGGATGGGAATCATCATTAGCACCACTTATGATGATTCCCTTGAGCTTGACGTTGCCGGTGAAGGGAATATTGAACAGGAGCTCCTCGTCCGCGTCGCTCTGCACGAACTTGGAAAGATCCTGGCGCTTCTCATAGGGCTTAAAGACACTCTTTCCCTGGCCATCCGTCTCCTCGTTCAAGCACTCCGTGTTGTCCAGATCGATTTTCGTATACAGACTGTACTCGATGCCCATTTCCAGGGCGTGATCCACGTCCGTGGCCTCGTGACTGCAGCCGCCATGGTCGTGCGAGTGTCCGTGCGGCATTATTTCAATTTAAAATTTAACAAAAAACAAATGTAAATAAACCAGCCGAGTCACTATTAAGAATAGGGTAACCCCGAAGTACCATTCACAGGGAACAACCACATCGATAACAGTTTCCCTTTATCGATTCTTAAGGCGGCGGTATAAATCCGTTCACCGACTGCGGCCACACTAATTTCAGCCTAAAAAAATTAAATTTAACAATTTTTAATCTGTGTTAATCGCTGTTAATTTAGTGTGGAAAAACCGTGTTTTGCTGAAAACTCAGAGTAAACGTTCCAATGGCGCCCAAGGCAAAGTCGGTTAACATCAAGCCCGTGGCGAAGGCCTTCAAAGACAAGTCGAAGCCCACTGATGTGCGTTTGTCCAACATCCAGGCGGCCAAAGGTGAGAAATGTGGAAAATTAACGAAATTAAAGAGATCTGTGGGGAAAAGTGGTTGCCCAGGGTCTATTTGAGGAGCTGGGAGTCCGGTAGATGGGCTTTCGGGCGGTGTTATTCCGGAATTGCTGGCCAAATGGCCAAAGAAAATCGCAGTTGGATGCCGGCTGTCTGGAAACTTCTCGGACGGAAGAAGAAGAGCGAGCATTACTCATGTGATGAATGGAGCGCTGAAAACTTAAGGTTTCTAATACCCTTCTAGGGGTAATTTTGCACCGATTATAGGTGTACTCTGTATGAAGGGCAATATGTCCTATTCTGCAACATAAAATTCTTTTTAAATCGCGAAAGTAATTTAGTCTAGACCATCTGTTTATATGCAAATTAGTCATACGATTGGTAGGCATTCCCTGTAAAACAAAGCACATGCTAACATGTTTTGGCCAATTCTATCAAATTCTATAAATTTTGTAATATTAATCCCAAGAATTCTATCAATTTCATCTCTTTTTGTATCTTTAAATAGTTTAATATCACCTGTTTTAAGGGTTTAAGTTAATATTTGTTTATATTTATAAGTTATATTAAAATTATTAATCGATTAAAACTTTTCGTTTGGCTATATTTAAATTTTATATTTTCTTAAAAAAACAGATATTTTAAAAGTTAATTCAAATGTGCAGAATATTGATCATCTTCTAGTGTTAAAATATGTCTTAATATTTTATATTTGTCAAATTCCGTACAGGTACATCTTAGAAATAAGCTATTAAAAACTAAAAAACTTTAGTTAATTATCATACTCCTCCCTTTTTAGCCGTTTCCGATGCCATCCGCACCAGTTTGGGCCCCCGCGGCATGGACAAGATGATCCAGGCGGCCAATGGCGAGGTTTCCATCACCAACGACGGAGCCACCATCCTGAAGCAGATGAACGTGCTGCACCCGGCCGCCAAGATGCTGGTGGAGCTGTCCCGCGCCCAGGATGTGGCCGCCGGAGACGGCACCACCTCGGTGGTGGTCATAGCCGGCGCTCTGCTGGAGGCCTGCGAGAAGCTGCTGCAGAAGGGCCTGCATCCCACGGCCATCTCGGACTCGTTCCAGCGCTGCTCCAACAAGGCCGTCGAGATCCTCAAACAGATGTCCACGCCCATCGAGCTGGACGACCGCGAGACGCTGATCAAGAGCGCCTCCACCTCGCTCAACTCGAAGGTGGTGTCGCAGCAGAGCAGCCTGCTGGCCCCCATTGCCGTGGATGCCGTGCTGAAGGTCACAGACCCCGGCAAGGAGACCTCCGTGGATCTCAAGAACATCAAGGTCATCTCGAGCTTGGGCGGTACTGTTGAGGATACCGAGCTGGTCGATGGCTTGGTCTTCACATGCCGCTCTGCCGGATCCAATGCTCCCAAGCGCATCGAGAAGGCCAAGATCGGTCTTATCCAGTTCTGCATTTCGGCACCAAAGACCGATGTGAGTTGGTGGCTAATCCTTGATTAAGAATTCTTATTAATTCCCATGTAATATTTTATAGATGGATCACAACGTGATTGTTTCGGACTACGCTGCCATGGATCGTGTCCTAAAGGAGGAGCGTTCGTACATCCTCAACATTGTCAAGCAGATCAAGAAGTCCGGATGCAATGTGCTGCTGGTCCAGAAGTCCATTCTCCGGTGGGTTTAGCTGACTAGCAACTTTCTCACTTTGTGTTTATAATTTATAATTCGATTTATTCATAGCGATGCCGTTTCTGACCTGGCTCAGCACTTCTTGGACAAGATCAAGTGCCTGGTGGTCAAGGATGTGGAGCGCGAGGACATTGAGTTCGTGTGCAAGACTCTGCACTGCCGTCCCATCGCCTCGCTGGATCACTTCACAGCCGAGAACCTGTCCAGCGCCGATTTGGTCGAGGAGGTGGCCAGTGGCACCAACAAGTTTGTCAAGATCACCGGCATCCAGAACATGGGACGCACTGTCTCGATCATCTGCCGCGGATCCAACAAGCTGGTGCTCGAGGAGGCTGCTCGCTCGCTGCACGATGCCCTCTGCGTGGTTCGTTGCCTGGTCAAGTTGCGCGCCCAGATTGTCGGCGGTGGTGCGCCGGAGATCGAGATGGCGCTGCAGTTGGCTGCCTTGGCTCAAACTGTCGAGGGTGTGGATGCGTACTGTTTCCGCGCATTTGCCGATGCCCTGGAGGTCATTCCTTCGACTCTGGCCGAGAATGCCGGCTTGAACCCCATTGCAACCGTCACGGAGCTGCGCAACCGCCACGCCCAGGGTGAGAAAAACGCTGGTATTAATGTGCGCAAGGGCGCCATCACAGACATTTTTGCCGAGAACGTGGTGCAACCCCTGCTGGTCAGTATTTCATCGATCACCTTGGCCACGGAGACGATTCGCTCGATCTTGAAGATCGACGATATTGTAAGTATTATAGGAACTAAACTAATTATTTTATTGGTTGTTAATCAATATCCAACTTTCCTTTCAGGTCAACACCTTCAGTTAAGCATTGCGACCCCGCCGCCTTTGGTTGTCTGTCTCTGATCAAGATCAATCTTTAAGCATTTTCATCTAATCCCTCACATCTTATACCCATTATGCGATTGAGCATTACACTTTGAATAAAATTCACATATACTATACGCCTTACCAGCTTAATATGTATTTAAAAAAGAAAAACTAAAAGATTAAATACTTCGCTAACACAACCCAGACAAAAGAATGTTTTGAATTATATCCCTATAAATTCTTTTATATTATTCTTCTATCTTCTAAGGGTTTGAATGTTAGTGCTGATTATTCAAAATAACAAATTAATGCGTTTCTCCCTTAAAAAAATCCTAAAATTATTTCGAACATGAGATTCGAAAGATGGGCAGTTAGTTATACGTTATAAATTCTTCGAGACCATAATAAACCAAGAATCCGTTTGCCTGTAACTTTTGGGGGTAAAGTTGGCGAGTACGGCATTTTTCCAATTTTGAGGTCCTTTTTTAGAGTCCTTGCGTTAGAGAACTTTTCGAAGCGAATACGATTTTATCGCATCCATCGAGGTAATTTTTTGATGTTGCATAGTTATAAATTAAAGTATACATCACTTTTAATGAAAACTTGCTTATAAATTTTATGATAAAAGTTTAAAACGACTGTGTGGTAATACATACAAAAGATTACAAAAAATAATTCCGAGAGGACCACCAGTAAATAGAAATAAATCCTTAAAATTGCCTGGCTATTAAAAATGATAAAACTTCTTTCGATTTCAGGGCAAACTTAATGATAATCGACTAACTAACCGTATCCTTATCTAATGTGTGAACTCATTTTCCTCGTTTTAAACCACCACCTAGGATTTCAAAGGGTTGGCTGAGCCCCATCCATTTGACACCCCCGCCCCAAACATCCACTCCCTTTCTTTTTGGGGCTCCTTTTTGTCCTGGGCGTGTAAATAAAAATCACTTGATGCGATTTTTATGATGTGCGTTAAATGATTAAACCACTTGAACTGGTTTCAAATTGTCAAAAAATCCAGGCGGCGGACTTCGGTTGGAAAAAGGGTCTTTATCCTTTTGTTTTCTTAGCCCCATTTTGGAACTTTATGCGGGTGGGGTTTTCGCTTGGGTGTGATTAGATGGAGACTATCTCTCGTGTCCGGAAACTTTCGGCGCGTGTAAGTTAATTAAATGTGTAAACATGTCAAAGGGATCAAGTTTTCCATCCCACTATCTCCCACCACCCATCTGGGCGAGATGGTGTCGATTTCGAATTTCACGCCCTTGATTGCCTTTGATTTTTGAGCCTCAAAAAAGCTATTCCGCTAATTGGCTGGTGGAAAATTCAGGGGGAGGATTTCCATCAGCTTCCGGGGGTCGAATGCAAATTTTCCATTTTAAAATGTTGTTTTCCTCCAGCGGCCATTGATTTGTGTTTCCATTTTGATTTCAGGAGGGTGGAAAAGTCCCTCCTCAAAAGTTTTTTATACTTGTTTATTTGCCTCATTTTTATGGCAAAGGATATCATATATTTTATTTGAATATGATTGGGTATTATAGATTTAATATTATATTTTATATTTAATAGTTCATAATTTAAAGGTAACATTCAAATCGTTAAAAAACATATATGTATACAATAAAATTACTTAAGTCCCAATGACTAACTTAAAGGGCTTATTTAAAAAATTCAGATGAACGTTATACAGAATGTCATAAATTCCTAAAAAGAAATCCATTTAGTTGGTCAAAACTTAGGCAAATCTCTTAAGGCCTTTAGTAAAATAACCAAATATATATTAAAGGGTATTGAGATCTTCGATTTAAGCTGCTTCCATACTTGTTATTTATTTTATTTTTCGTTACTTTTTTAGCTATTTACTCGACTGTCTTGGGGCATTGTCGTTCACGTTCTCGTTCCCATTTGTTTCTTGTGCAAATATTGAATTTGCGCTTTTTTCCCGAGCTATTTGCCGGAGCCAGTGGCCCACACTTTTGAAACTTTTCATTTCGGGGGTTTTTCCTTTGTTTCGCCTGTTTGCTTAATTTTTGTATGCGATTTTCCTCATCTACTTTTTGCTCATTTCATATTTTCATTGTAATTCAATTGTGTTTTCCCCCGCTGCTGTTGTTTTTGGCCAAATGTTTGCACAAGTCTTATGTTCTCCAGTCGGGCGAAAAGGGGTGTGTCCCCGTTGTCCTTGTTTCCTTTCGTTTTGCTAGACGAATTGAAATTCAAAGCACCAAATTGTCAGCCAGTCACGCAGAAATTTAACATATGTTCGCCATATAATTTGCGAGCACTTTTTATTTCGCCGAACTCATCTGAAATTACCAACGTCTGCTATCTCACTTCTCGAGTATCTAACAATTTGAAGAGGAAAAAGGGCAATTTAAAAAAAGCTATCTCATAAAAATTTCGAATGTTTCAGAAAATAAGTTATTTACATAAGGCATGTGGAAAAATTAAAAAAAAACAGAATAATTTTGTTATTTTAGTTTTTATTACATTTTACAAAAAATGGTTGATACATTTTTATACCCGTTACTCGTAGAGTAAAAGGGTATATTAGATTCGTGCAAAAGTATGTAACAGGTAGAAGGAAGCGTTTCCGACCCTATAAACTATATATATTCTTGATCAGGATCACTAGCCGAGTCGATCTAGCCATGTCCGTCTGTCCGTCTGTCCGTCTGTCCGTCTGTCCGTCTGTCCGTCTGTCCGTCTGTCTGTCCGTCTGTCTGTCTGTATGAACGCTGAGATCTCGGAAACTATAAAAGCTAGAAGATTGACATTTTGCATGCAGATTCTAGGACTTCCTACGCAGCGCAAGTTTGTTTCAAAAGGGTGCCACGCCCCCTCTAACGCCCACAATCGCTAATATACGATTTTAAAAATTTCAATATTTCGGAAAAGTAAAAATGCAGTTTGATTGTGTTTATCAATACCTATCGAAATGTAGAAGAAAGTTTTTAAATCGGACCATTCGTTAAAAAGTTACGGCGGATCAAAGTTTAACCCACTAGTTAAGCCAATTATCTCCATCTCCCTCGCTCTCCCTTTAGCTGAGTAACGGGTATCTGATAGTCGGGGCACCCGACTATAGCGTTCTCTCTTGTTGCTATTTGAATTAGCTAACGTCTCAGCTAATTATTGCAAATTAAAACTGTGCTTTGATCTAAGAATATTAATTGGTTTCTTTACTTTCTTACATAAGATATGAATTATGGGCACAAATAACCGAGTTCTGCCTCAAATTTATTTTCAACAAAATTAATCTAAATTTTCTTTAAATATTTGTTTAGATCCGTTAATAAAAATTTCACCAAATAACATTAAATAGATCTTTTTCAGAAAACACTTCCATCTAGTTCATGTCACTTAAAGAAGGAAAGCTCGAAAAAGCATGAAGAAACGCTGGAAGCAAAAGCATAAGGCAAACTTAATTTTCGTTAGTCCTGCCAAGTGCCGAGTGATTAATGATGGCAGCACCACGACAATATTATGAAAACGCATTCGAAAATTTCATTAAATTGTTATAAATGAAGCGGACGGAGAAAGGAAAATGAAACATTTGCTGGAGGGAAAATTCAATTTGCAAATGCAGCAAATGTTTGCCTGTCCGCCGAAAGGAAATCTATCAAAAGAAACCTGAATGAAATCTCGGCCGAACGATCTGCAACCACCGGGAAAGGGAACCCCCTGAATGGCCTACGGGGCTTATCAACCCATTTTGACCAGCTCAGGCTTTGGGCACTTTGAATATGACCAATGCAATTGAAGTTTCCCCCATTGAAAACCGAAATTGCTCAAAGCCATTTTGCGTCCGTTTCCATTCTGTTTTTCGTTTTTTTTTTCTTTTTTGGTTATTTGGAATGGACAGACGTCGTCTGCACAGGACTGATAACATTCAAAGAGTCCCAAACTCAAACTCAAACCCGAACCCCCAATCCGAGATTCGAGTGCTCGCCAATTAAGTGTGAGTGCCGGCATCGATGGGCTTTTCCTTTGGCCTCCGTTTGATGTGTGCTCGAGTGTGTGGGCGAATGGCCTGCAAATTAAATAGGGTAAGCATTCTGGTCGAGATTTCGCTTCTGGCCAGATTAAAAATTTATTCGCAGTTCTGGACAGCTGCGGGCAAGTGAAACGTCAAGTTGTAAGCGAATATGGTAGCGGTACAAGTTTTGGAAATAACAATTTCGTTTGTTTGCATGCACTACACTTTTTTAGATAGGCAGTAAGTTACCTTTAAAATATAATCTTATAATCTTATTAAGATAGAATAGGTACACTAATAAACATTTCTTTTTACATTTTAGAAATCTCGACTTTGAATCAGCCAGCTTTTGAATATAGTAAAACAATTTCTTGTTATTAAACAAATCGCCTTTAAATATTAAAATCATTTCTTGCTAAAAAGATAAGAGCAACTACATTACTTGATTTAAGAAATAGTTTTTCTCGTTTTTAAGGTGCCTTTATAAAAAAACATTTCTTTAAACAAGTAATGTAGTTCTTCTTAGCTTTGTATCAAGAAAGGAAAACAAAGATGAAGTTGAATTCAAGAAGGATTTTCCTTAATTTTAAGGGAATTCTGAGGACTTCTTTTAATAAATGATAATTTTAAATTATTTTAAAGTTTTGTATTGTTTGTATAAATTTTGTTAATTGAGTTGAACTTAAGTCATCGATGAATTCATGCATTTGATCAGATAAGTTGTAAATATTTGTCATTTTACCTTTACATTTAAACTCATTTTTCAATTTATGATAAGAAGTTCTGAATTAAAATAGTCTTTATCGTTTTAAAAAATTCTAAAAATAGCTGCTCCTCATATGTGTATTTACCATTCCCTTACACCGTCATTTACCTAATTTATTGGCACACTTCCATTAAGATATCTCCATGAAGGACTTGACTTGCTTAAGCGATTTCAAAAGGATACAACTGGGACAACATAAAATACTTCCACTGCCCACATCGGGGACCGAGAACAGCAGACTACGGGAACTAGAACCAGAACAAGACCGAAATCAACCACCGAAGCGAGGACCATATGACATAACTATGTGTGAATTGATGGCACGAACCCTTTCCCTTCCCCAACTCTTATCATTTTTTAGAGATTCGTGCCCTAAACGAATCAGAGCCCGGCAAACTTTGGAAGGCAGGGGAGGGGAATCCGGGATGAGGGATCGGAGTTGGGGGTTGCTAAAAAAGGATTTACACGCTTGCCTCGATATACAAATAGGGGTTTCTGTCTGGGCTGCCATATTGACTGTCGCCGGGCCCAAAAAGATGAAGTGATTTCTTATCCAACAAATCCACACTCGACAACCAAAAAAAAAAAGGAGAAAAGGGGTTGCTGGTGTGGGTCCTTCGCATCCTTTCTGCCTTGGCCCGCGTTTGCCAGGAAGTTTATTAAAAAATGGTCGTGTTTGCCTTTGTCGCGTGGCTGGCAAACGCTTTTGGAGCGGGCCAAGGAAATCAGTTAACTAAATATCTCGTTCAATATTTATTTAGGCGGCGCCTAATGAGATTCGAGTGGGTTTTTAGAAGGCACACGACTGCCAATAAACCTAAAACTTTGGCTAATTGAATAATAAGCTAAGACGATTGAAAAATATTTACTTGTTACAGCTGACAGTTTTTTTAATGTCTTTTTTTTTAACCATATACTTACGTTAAAAATGTTGGATTAGAAATTAAAACTTGAGATAACCAAATAAAATGAATATTTTCGTATTACAATTTTTTTTTGTAGGAATGGTAATTTTTTTAAAAATATAGTCAAATAATAATTTATAAGCAAATGATTTACACGTTAGTTACTTGTTTATTTCCATAACACGTATATGATTTTAAAATTGTAAAAAAAGATTTAGATTCTAAGTTATGTAGAATTTTAAAAATTTTTCTTCTGATCGTGAATGATATTTACTTTTTTCGCAAATCGAAGTGATATTATTTCTCTTTAAGTTTAAGAATATTTCATATTATGAAGAACTGATCATCATCCATCGCCATCTTAAATAGTATAGCATGTAAACGTATCCCCATTTAGTTTCTTTCATTTACAACTCCCACCCAAAAATAAATAACCGCTTAACTTTTTTTTATAAATTATTTTATCGGAATAATTTTATTGAAATTTTTGGATGTTAAGATCTAAGTGTGTTCAAGATCAATTTACAATTGGACATCGTACAACAACATCGGTATACATACACATCTAAGTCAATACACATAAAGTACAACTAGGGGAATTGATTTGTGGCATAGTGGATATGGGGACACAACAGATCATACATATATGGCATTTGGGGGGCACAGTTAGGAACTAGAAACTCTATATGCATACAGATACGAATAGGTAGTGCGGAACTCTATATGTACTCATAAATTCGTAATGGATTTTCTGATACGACTGGCTATCACCTAGTTTGCTAAATACATCCATGGCATTGTTTGCATTTGATATGGAGGAGTTGGCTTGTGGAATGTTGTGGAAGTGTTTTGGAGTTTAAGCTGACTATGTACAGGGTTCGGTTTCGGCTCTCCTCATTCCTTACTCCCCCGAACTGATGGAGCTGCCGCAGAAGGAGCCGGAACCGGTGGCATCCAGTTGCATGTGCGACATGTTGAGGGCCTGAGGTGGATAGCCGAAGGCGTGACTGCTCAATGGGGTGCCCGTGGGACTATCCAGATCTAGGGAGGGATTGATGCGCTTCTCCTTTTGGCGGCGATTGCAGAACCACACCCGAATCACCTCCTTGTCCATATTCAATCGCTCCGAAAGGTGGGTGATCTCCTCCGACGTGGGCTTGCAGTTCATGAGGAAGGCCTTCTCCAGAGTCGTGCGAACCGTCGTCTCGATGGAGGTGCGCTTCTTGCGCCTGCGTCCCAGGATGCTCTCCGGTGTGCTGCTCAATGTGCTGGTCATCGTGTTGATGTTGAACACACCGCCGCCCGACTTGGCCACACTGCTGTCCGCATCCTCCAGCCACTTCTGGAGCAGCGGCTTCAGCTTGCACATGTTCTTGAAGCTCAGGTTGAGGGCCTCGAAGCGGGAGATCGTCGTCTGCGAGAAGTCATTGCCGTACAGCTTGCCCATGGCCAGACCCACGTCGCCCTGGGTGAAGCCCAGCTTGATCCGGCGCTGCTTGAAGGTCTTGGCGAACTGCTCGAGTTCCTCCAGATCGGTGGTCTCCTCGGGCGATTGCTCCAGCTTGGCCATGGCCGAGGCCACGGTGAGACCGCTTGAGGGCTTGGGAGTGCTCTGCTGCTGCTGATGCTGCTGTTGCATGCTGGGCGTATTTGGAGTCATCACGGCACTACTCAATCCCAGGGAATTGGCCGTCATTGAGTTGGGCGGAGTTCGCTGCTGGGACTTGCTGCTGCTGCTGTGCCTGGGCACCGGACTGAGGGAGGGACTTCTGAGCGGCGATTTAGCCAGCGGAGTGGAGTAGCTCGGCAGCGGATCCTCCCGCTGCTGCTGCTTGATCTGCTGGAGTGCCTGGAACTGGGCCAAGGCCTGCAGCGAGTTCTGCAGCAGGAACTGGGTGGCCAGGTTGGGATTCGGAAAGGCCTCCGGCGCCAGTTGGCGGACCATTTCGATGTAGCTGTGCAGCTGCAGTTGCAGGGCCTGATGCATTTCCTCCGGAGCAAATTGGCCCATGGGCTGCGGCGGAAGGGCACTAGCCACCTCCTGTGCCGGTTCCTCCTTTAGCTGGTCCCCAGCCAATCTCTTGGGCGGCGGCGCCAGGTCTAGCACCTCGTTCTCCAGCTCCGGATCCAGTTCCCTGGCTTGGCGCTTGCTGCTCAGATTCTGCGGCATCTCGCAGTTTTCGCCCAGCTCCAGCTCCTCCTCCTCGAAGCTCTTTCCGCAGTCTGCAAGAAACAGGGAGAAAAGATATTTTTTATAGTACACGATTGTGGGTAGTTTGCTTTTCAATTTTCCAACTCAATGAAGTTCAAGTAGCTGGACTGGTCAACGCACGCGTGGCATAATTTGATTTTAACCAAAAGACTCTGAAAGTTGTTCAATATTTCTGATGGTATTTTTAAGGGTATATAAAGGGGTTTTAATCAAATTGAATTAAAAATTTAAAATCCGAGAAAATGTTAAATGAAGAAATCTTTTAACTTGAATAAAATGTGCAATTTTTCAAAATCCCTATTTTATTGAATTATTTTTTAGAATTTTAAAAACGTAGTAAATATTGTTATACAACTAATATTATATTGGTTACATTACTATTTTAATCCTCTTAATGCATTTTCAATCGCTTTTTAGTGTATTCATTCAAAGACTTTCTGTTAACAAATTCTCTTCAACCTTTTTAAGTCAAATTTTATTCAATCTTCCAATTGAATGCCCATCCTTTTTTCGCTATCCTGTCCAATGTCTGCGTCCTGCGGTTAGCTACGATAGACGCTCAAGCGGAAGGGTTCGCCTTAGTGGCCCCAGCCTTTGGCCTCCCCCAACATCCTTGTTGAAAACCCAATCATGCATAATAATTGAAAAATAGCCATACATCAGAGGCCATGGCGGAGTCAAACAGGAAGCTTGCTCCTTTGTCTCCGATAAATGCGCAGTAGAGCAACGAACGGAGCTCAGATTTCATAATTTTCTAAAGGAAAATTATTGATTTTGATGGGGAATAAAATAATGAGCCAGGCACTTCCGACAGGAGAAATATAAACCTCAAATCTAAATTCCAAGCATTTAAAAACGAAAAAAATAAAAAAATCCAAAATCAACTTTCAAACATTTGTCAAGGATGTAAAAAAAATGTAACGCTCTAAACCGATTTAAAAATAAAGAGAACTGATAGTTTTAAGCGGATTCAACCCCATGTTAAACTCGATTCACCGGATTAGGAAATTTTTCAAAAAACATTTCCAATGCGGGCGTTTGAACTTTGCCAATAAATTGCATGTGGGCAGCTGTTTTTATGACTCCCTTTATGTAGAACGGCGAAAGTTGAAAAAGCCGTAATAAAATTAGCCATTGAAAACGCATATTGGGAACCAGTCAGAAATGAAAATCATCCAAGGGTTGTCACCCTTTTCGGAATGATTTTTCAACCCTCCTCCGTTAGTTGAGACTCGAATTTAAAATTCGTTACAATTTCGAATGCACGAGTTGCGGATTAGAGTAGAATGCAACTTGCTATTGGGTGGAGAATTGGACCAGCTAGAAAAAAAGGGTTCCAAATTGCATTGTTTGGGTTCTGGATAAATAGAGGAGGAAAGTCAAGAAGCCTCGGGAGCAAGTTCAAGCCAAGGCAAGAAACATTGTTGTGATCCTTTGTGAGTGGAATGCGCCTGCAGCGAGCTATCCACGATCCTCGAACCTCGAGCCTCGAGCCTCGATTTTCCGAAAACCCAAAACCAGGTGATGCCGCTTTGTCTGTCTTCAGGGGCAGATGTGTTATCCTGCTGATGAGGACTACATGGTGAATGCAAGTTCCTCGTCCTGCCACAATGGCAATGTGTGAATGCTTCCACTGACAAATGAAGTGTTGCCTCTATTTGAAAACTCTGAATTCTGTGTACTCCTTTTTCCCCTGCAGTTTTTAGGGGTTGATTTTGCCTATCCCAAGAGGGAGTGTAAAGTGCGTTTCGATTTATGGGAAAGATAGAACCAGAAATATGTAGAGTGCACCGAGAGAGATTTTCAGCGATAGAGAACCAGAGTCGGCAATCCAATTATACTTGCATATCTCAGCAGTTTATCTACATTCGAGTTAGGAAAAAGAAAATAAATTTCCAACTGAAAATCGATTTTTAAAAACTTTAGAATTCCAAATATTTTAAATATTTTTTTAACTTTTATAAAGATTTTTTCATATGAAAAATATTGTAAAATGATTTTCAATTATATAAATATTTATTTAACAAAATAAATAAATTGTTAAAAATACAACTTAAAATTTTGGCTTCGACATATTTTCTTTATCCATTAATTCGCTTAAAGAACTTAGCTAATTTCGTGCTTATTTAAAATTTAAGCTCATTATTACCTTCATGTTGCTAAGTTAAACCCTTCGCCCTTTCATTACCTTTATTTAACCCTTCATTAAAAGTCGTCACGCCTATCGACTTCATCCAACTTGTTTGCATGCCACACAAAACGCCCTCGAAACGCCCTCGAAGCACATTTTTTAGAAATACAAAAAAAATAAAGAGCACCCAATCAGAACCGCTGATTATAATATCCTTTACGCGCTTCCTCTTCCGAATTACCCCTTGAACATTCAGAGAGCCTCAATTAACTTCACGCAACCAAATCCTTTCAATTTGAATAACCTAACGAGGGGAAATCGTTCAACAAGTGGTACTTTAAAAAATGAGGTGGCAAGGGTAACCCTTCGCTGCTTAGGGTTACCCCCTCAATCGAATTCACACCTCGACGCTATTCAAATGATATGTTAAACAGGGTTGAGCCGGGATCAACAGTTTGCCTTTTTGTGTGTGTGATGCAAATGTTGCGGCACTTGAGTTTTTTAGCGGCGGAAGCAACCCTTTTTTTCGGAAGAAGAGTTTCCCCCTCCTTTATTGTGACAACATTTGAATATGCATAATGGCCTGAAGAGGGGTGAGAGAGGGGTTAGGCACCCTTGGCTCGATTGACTCGCCTAATTTGTGTAAACCAATAAAAATGCAAGTTTAATTGTCAACTACTATCGGATGGCATTGGCAACCCTGTTAATGCGCCGCATTTATTCAAATGGGGTGGATTTCCATGCATGTTTTTGCATAGATTAGTTGCACTTCGTTAGGGGTTGCTATTCCTGGCTTCGGGGTCCTTACATAATTGCTCGACCCATCATTTAAATGCGCCAAAGCAGAAATTTACATTTTGACAAATTGTTATTTCTGTTTGTTTGCGAACAGAAGAGGGTCGTGTTAGGGTCACTCGGGGGAGGGAGGTGGAGGTCAAAAGAGCATATAGGGGTCTCCTAAAGATGATCTCTGGTTTAAGCTTGTTTCCGTGCGGGGGTTGTTTTGTGGGTGTAGAAAAAAGATTTTGGGTGGCATTCCATGGAAATGGTTTAAGGCGATTTTAAGTTTGAATGAAATTTGACAATGGAACGTGTTTATTCTAATTATTTTCTTTGTTGGATCATAAAGTAATTTTAATTTTTTTATGTGAAAGTATTTATTATTATTTTATAAGAAGAAGGATCTCAGAAGAAAATTAATGTTCAAATACTATTTTAAATCTTTTCTGAACAATCCAACAACATACTGTAAATACAATGTTCTTTCATATTTGTGGAAATGTTTAAAGTAAAATATTTTCCGCATTAGTTCCCCAAATGCAACAGCTAAACATCTATCTCTTAATATCCCTTCTTCGACCCTTTAGAGTTTTCGAATTTCTTATTGCAAACCCAAAGGCTTCTGGCCCGTCCTCCGTCACACTTTGGTCACGTGCTGGTTCCTCAACAGCGCCTATAAATATTATAGGTGCCCTAACCTAATGCCTCATTACCAATAACAGAGCAAGGAACTCCAGTTCTGAGTTACTACCTAAGCCAAACCCTAAAATAAACCCAATGTGGATAGGGGATGTGGATGCGGCAAGGGGATGCATGCAGTGGCTTATTGCATATTGCAAAAAGAGGAAAACTGAAAACTATAAAAATTGTCTTTCGTGTGAGTAATCAATTTAACCACAAAGTAGCCACGTTCCGACACGCGTTGGGAGCAGGATAAAAAAGACATGTTGGCTGAATGCTGGCCAAGGATTAGCAATATTACAGATACAAATATGTATGTATTTACCTGATAGGGAGCGCAGGGGCGAAGGCGGAGTGGGTGAGTTGGACATGTGCCGCATAACTGCAAAAAGAGAAAACAAAAATATTTTTAAATTTTTAATAATGCTCGGAACTGGCAAACTTAAATGCAAATGACACGTACTCCTGGTTTAAGACACATAACGTCTATGGATGGTCAAGGCAAACAATTTTGAAACAAGGAGTGGGAATGGATGTTTTCATTTCATGTCTGGCTCGTAAAATGTCCATTAGGAATTCGGACATAACACATTTCTTATGGCGTATATAACATGCAAAAATGTTTCCAGCTTTCAGCTGAGTGCTCGCTGGTGTAAAGTTTTTAAGGGTCAATTTCCGCGTGCGAATGGTTGGCATTATGATTAAAGTAGTTTTCACACAATTTTTTATGGGCAAGGAAAAGTGCACTGTAAGTAATTGTAAAGTTGCGCATTACATTTCTTTTAAAAAAAATGTTTTTTTTTCTATTTAAAAAGGAAAATCCCAAAATGTCTGTACAATGTGGTCCAAAATCCACACCATCTTTCATCCATTTCCCACCGTCCCTTCTCATTTTCCCTCAGCTCTTTTTTTGTGCCATTTGGTTTTTTGTTTTGCAAAGTAGATATTAAATTTATAGCTCCCTCGGGGCGTAAGCAAAGTAGTATCCTTGTATCCCGAGCAGGACAACGGGCAGCAGGAAAAAGTAACATATTTTTACGACAATATATTGTTGTGAGGACGCTCTGACTTGGGGAATCCTCGTGCATAATGTCCAGTGCAGGACAATATAAATATACAGATTACCCATACGCAGACCATTGGGATGGCGTTGTCCTTGTGGTTGGGTAATGGTTTTGCCCGATGGGATTGGGGGCGGCTTAGGTGGGGTCGGTGGCTGACCTCACACCTCACTTGTTGGCAGGATAACAAGTGGCATTAGTCAAAGGATCTTTGGGATTTTAGCTGTGCACATGATCTGCATGTTTGAATTTCTCTCTCTTTTTACACCCACCACACCTTCGGCTTAAATGTAATTACACAAAATTTGCCTTTTGTGGCTAATTTGGTTTCTTTTCCTTTGTCCCATCCAAAAAATTACCTACGCTTTGGATTGGAAAATAGTTTTCCCCCTAAAAAACGAAGAAAATGCCAAGGATGGGAGAAAAAATAAACGTTTCCTTTCTCCTTTGTTTCCATGCAAAATACCCTCAGGAAAAAAAGACAACGTCTCGGACACAGGTAAAAAGGACACTGCCAGGATGCAAATGCAAACAGACAACAAATCTAAAAACTCCGATCACACGCTCGCACAGTGGGACGCTCAGGGACAGCTGCTGCCCAAAAACGACACCGTCACCAGCAGGACATCGCATCAAATCTATTGCAAAACGCCATGATATCGTTCATCTGATAGGGAAATTGTGTGTGCCTCCTTTATGTCCTACTCCATCTGATCTGGACCTGGACCCTCTGCCCGGGATAATGTGTGGGCGTGTAATCATCATCGGTGACCTTTGTCTGCACCGAACTGGTTTCTTTCTTTAGTCCTTTTCTAACCAAATTTATTGCTTGAGAAAGTGAAAAGTTTTTGTAACAGGTACAGGGTCCAATAAATCAGGCAAGGATTTGTATAAAAGTCGTTAAGTTGATTGCTTTTTGAATTGGTTTTATATAAAAATTCTATAAAAATTACTTTATTATGAAATAACATTTTACTAATTTTAAAAAAAGTAAAAAGTGTTTTGACTTTGGATTATCCAAACCTAATTTATAAAAGTTGTAATAACAACCGTAAAACATTAAAGAAAGATTTTCCAAAATAGTAAAATAAAAATTCGAAAATTAAATTCCACTTTCAAATTTTAAATAATTCAAAATATTCTCTAAAATCCTTTTGCACTTGACAACTCTGGCCAACAAGTATGGAAAAGCTCCTTGGCTAGTTGGGGGTGGCAACCCTGTATAACTCACATGTGTGGGCTGCTGTTGTTGCATTTTCCTGATGGCAAACTTTTGTGCTTTCCACATTCGCGGATTGCTGTGTTGGTGTATTTGTGTTATTCGCTGTTGTTGCATCCCAGAGATGCTGTTGTTGTTGCTGTAGCACCATCATTTTCGCAGATTTATTATATTTAAATGTTTTTAAATAAAGATATTTAAATTTTCACTTGAAACATTCACAGGGAAGAAAGTCTTCGTTTTTTTGGTATGTTCGATTTCCCAAACTCGAGTTTTGTATTTCCTTTTGCGAGCAAGAAAACCGAACCGTCAGGCTTCAACTTCTTCAGCCGAATGCAACTTAGAAACTGAATTGAGGAATCGTATTTTGCTGCATTCTCTGCTATGTGCATGGCATCTCTCGCTCGCACTCGCTGCCCTCTCCCTCTCTCTCTCGCCCTGCTGTTGGTGTGTGTGTGATATGCTTTATGATTTGCAGCGGTAGTTTTCCCCATTTCCTCTCCGCTCTCCGCTCGCCACTCTCTCGCTCATTTTCCCTCGCAATCAACCCTGCACCGTTAGCCGAGTTTCAGTGTGTGCGTGTGGAACGTATCCTTTGTCGCCTGCATTCTGATCAGAATATCCATGGACTCCATTGTCGCCCTCTCCTGCATTTTCACATTTTCCTGCACTTCCACATTTTCCTGCATTAGCATAGGCCACAAGTTGACTTCTCCTGCGAAATGGGTGTGGCCTATGTATTATGCATTTTCCGACCTTCTGCGCAGTATGCAGCATTTCTTTGCATACCTCGATTTTCCCTCCGATGCAAGTAAATCATAATTAAGTGGGGGATTTTACGTGGTCTCGGGAAGGTGTCGTCTGGTTCTTATGTACCATTTGGGGTTCGGACGTACAAATACATATGAGAGATTAAATGTGCTGGTTAAGGGGGAACGTTCGGCTAGATTCATTATAATAACTTTTATTTCGGCACCTTGAGTTTGAGTTATTTTTGGTTTTATAAAAGTAACTATTGGCGACCACAAAAATTTTAATAAGTTGAAAAATTCACAAAATTACTGCCCTGCTAACGGAACTCGTAAAATGATCTTTAATAAATTATCAATTTAAATGTTATTTTCTATTTAGATGCTTAAGAGATATTTACAATATAGGTAAGTATAGGATGTTTAAGGTTTTATAGAATTTTGCAATCGCTAAATAAGTAAACTTATGTATTTCTAGAAAGCCATTTGTTTTTAATCAAAAAATATTTTTGTTCAAGGAATTTATCAATTTGGTCACTTTTTCATAATATACCGATAGTAAATCTTAAGTAAAAATACAGTTTTTAGATCTATAACAAAATAATACGTTTTAATTTCCATTCCAAACCTTTAATTTCATCCTTTTTCACAATTCATCTAAGGCGGCGCTTTCGGAATCCTGCCATCCAATCCAACCATCACTTTGAGCATTTCGGTGTGATTATATAAACACAAAACTCATTCATATAAACATCAGCGCAGCCATTGAACCGAGACTTGGTCGAGTAATTACAACAAGTGTTGTTGCGCTCTCCCGCTTTCTCCCTGTTTCAGGACCTTTCCCTTTTCCCCACCTCCCAATCCACCCACACAAACTCACGTACTGCGATTTTCCTTCTTTTTTTGCGAAAAACGAGGAACGGGAAAAGGATATTTGCAGCCCTGGCGACAGCGCATACATTTTATGATTATGACTGTGACTGCACTTGGCTTTGCTTTCTTTCTTTTCTTTTCCGCCCAAGTTTGTGGGAGTTGCAGGAGAAAAATCTTTCTTGGGGAAAATTCATTCTATTTTCCTTTAGCTGACTTGGGCCCATTTCCCGTTTCGTCTGGAGCATTTTAATTAAAACTGCAAAATTAATGTTTTTGCCTTCAGGACTCGATTTCCTCTGCGCTCCAAGGACCGAAACAATAAAATAATTAAAAGAATGTTGAAAGCACCAATAAAATCAAACGAAATACAAACGAATATGTCTTTATAAATAAATAACTTGTTAATTCAATAAAATATTTCTTTAAGGGAATATCAGTTTGTATATTATTTAATGAAATATTTGAATGAATATTAAAGTCATTAAATAAAAATGGAAATAAGTCCAAAATAATAACTTGATTTACTGCTAAATCATAGGTTTAGTACCACCATATACAGTTAAGTTTATATTAAAGTGCCAAAATGATTTAAGAACCAGAGAAAAAGAAGAAAATCAATAGCAATCGTTTGATTCTCCCCCAAACTAATTTCAATAGTTATCCTTTTTGGTCCTGGCCTTACTGCTGCTGCTGCTGATTAAACTTGTCACTGGGAGACAAAAGATAAACAGTTCCTCACTTTGGATAGTTTTCCCTGTGCGTTATTTTCCGTTCTTCCTGGGCGGTGTCTAGGCAATTTGATTATTTGCCAGGAGCGGACGGCCCAGACAGCCAGGACATCACTGGACACACCAGACAGGGGGAACAACACCCAAATACACAGATGTGCATAGCAACATAGAAGTTTTTGGGCATTGAAATTAATCAAGAAAATAAACGCTTGGCAGCATCGCCGGAAAATCGAGAGGAAAAGGGGAGTGTTGGGTGGAAACCACACACACTTTGCATGACGAAAACAGACGGGACAAGGACAAGGACATCGGCAGGATCGTCGGTGGAAGTGGAAATGGGAAGTGGGAGCACTAACCCGGAACCAAACAAAATCGGGTGGTTGTGAAAACTCCGACATTTCCCTGTCGCTTCTCGTTCTGCCATCGCTGTTGTTGCAACGCATTAAAATGACATACCAATTTGCGTTAAGCAAATAAGACGAGACTAGCATTCGGTCCTCAAGTTGGTTGTACATTTTGGATAGGGAAAATGCGAGGTTAAGTAGTTGGGGGCGATTGCTCTAGTTGGGGTTCATATGTTTCCGCCTTTGGGTGGTTTCTGCATGGGTTTTATGGTCTCTCGTTTACGTTATGGTGAAAGAATTAAAGCGTAGTTTGATTCAGGGAATTTTATGCGAAAAATATTGCGTTATTCTACAGATTGTAGCTTATCTATAACGAGAAAAGGTTTTATTTTAGGTCGGATTTCTCGTCCGCTTGATAAATTTAAATAAGGGATAAAACCCGAAAATATAATTACTAAAAAGACAACTGCTTTAAACTTCCTTTCACCCTAAAAATATAATAAGACGTCTTATTGTATTATCCAAATTTTTAGCAAAATGAACTTTTTCAGAAAAAAAGTAACGGTTTTCTTGTCTAGCATTTCATCTTCTATACCAAAAATGGGTTAAAAAACAGGCACATAAATCAATAATTCTTTACCCAAAAAATTGTGAGAAAATTTTGCGAAAATTCCGTTAGATATCCCGTACTTAATCAGAGTCCCGGCACCCAAAAAAAAGTAAAAAAGGAACCGCAATTTTTCGTGCCTTTTTCTCACCCTCCTTCAAGACACAAAAATCGCACAAAAAATCACCCAAAAATTGGCCTTTGTTCAATTTGAATTTCTTTCAATTTCGAGCTATTTTTACCTTAAAAAATTACGCATTATTGGGGTACATTCACCCTTAGGTAGCCGAAGCCAAGGGGTTGCTACCCCTCGTGGGTTTGCCTTAGAGCTAAGCCGTGGAAGATCTCGGGTAATCCTTGACAGTGATCCTCAATTTTTACCCTTGAGTCTCTGTCGATTTCTTCGTTTTTCTGTCCCAAAAAACGGCGCGCAATTTTCTTCGGCATTGTGCGGTGGAAAAAATGTGAAGAAAATGCATTATTTTTTGTCGAAATATCTGAGTTTGGTCTTCTGCGAAGGGTTGGAGCGCCGAGTGACAGCGATTTTCTGTGGCAGATTGCCCCTGGGCAAGTCGAAATCAATAAACGTTAATAAATAATCCAAGAAGGGAAGATGCGGCGCTACGAATGCGGAAGTAAAGGGACATTTAGAGGCTTCTTTGTCCTCTTCCTCTATTGATTTCCGTTGCTGAGGTTTCCTCATCGATTTGCACTCGCTTTAATCGTGTTCCTTTTTTCTATTTTGGCGCGCTATTTTTGTGGGTTTTTTGTACAAGATTTTTGGGTCAGCAGATGGAAAGAGTTGAAAAGTTTTTGGAGGGAACGTTATTTCGAGAGGGTTCTACTTTTGTAACGGTTGACAGTTGGCTAAACTTTTAGTGCCTTTCAATGCAATCTTATGAAAAGTTTTTTCTTATGTTTAAATATTGGTTGGTTATTCCAAAACCCCCAAACAAAAATATTTTTGTAAGCATTAAAAAATTAAATAAATAGGTATGTTCTAAAAAGTCTACACACCATTATCAAAAATTATATTTTTTTTTGACAAAACTTGTTTGATAAATAATAATAACAATAAATAATTTAATTAATAAATCTTTAGAACATAGTAAAAAAAAACTTCCGCTATCCAGCGCCATTTTTTTCCGAATTCCTGCTAAGGATCAATTTATGCAAATCTAACCCTTATGCTGTTGCGCGACCATTTTAAAGTCGGTGGAAAAATGTAAATCGCATTTAAATTGAGGTGGTGGGTAAAAAACAAAAATGGATTTATGATCTTTGCTTTACAGCTTGTAAAGCGTTTTTATTGGATTTACGGCCACCCTCAGCGGCGTTTGGTCCCCGAGGCGGGGCTCAATTGGCCATAAGCTGCTCAGAGTACCGGGTCACAGTTGGTAGTGACACCAGTTTTCGTCAGAGCTTTCCTTTTGGATTTTCCCCTGCTTTTTACTGCTGTGGGGTGGGTTACTTTTCGCTTTTTGTGTTGTGTCCCTGTCAAAGGTTACCTCATGCAATTGTGGTTCGGTTTTTTTGAACGCCGCAAGCAACCTTTTCGAACAACCCGACAACCACCCACCAAATGACCCAAAGCTGACCCACCCACCCACTGGGCGCACAAAGTGGTTTTAAATTCCATTAAATAAAGTTGTAAAGGTTGCGCTGGTGTACTTGAGAATTTTCACGCATATTTTGTTCGCACTTTTGTAAAATTTATTAATATTTTAGTGATTTTAAATGGAGTTTGTATGTTGGCAATTCGAAAAGGGGGACTTGGTTTGTGGTGGGTGATAGTATGAAAGGTATTGTATTAAGTTGAGAGCTCGTAATTGAGTTGGATTTCGTTTTTACTTTTTGAGTGCTTGGGTTTTGGGTTACCAAGGATTTGATTTAGGAAGTGGAATGAGGCTTTTATGACAGTGGAGGAAGGTATTTTGGAGATTTATTTAGAGAATTATTATTAAAATTAAGAATTTTTGAAGTGTAAGTGAAATTTTTAAATTAAACCATTACTCTTTTTAATTTAGTAGAAAGTAATACATAAATAACTAATACTGATTTTTATATTTTTATTTTATGCTAGATTTTACATAAGGTAGACAAAAACTTAAAGGACTTAAAGACAGAAATTTTTGTTTCATGAATACTATGTTTTTATTTCTGACTCACTTTCAAATTAATCCTTCTAATGCAAAAATATGTTTACTGAATATAATTTTCACTTTTTCTTGACTAACTAACCCATTCCCTCTCTTTTCTTCTCCCGCTAAACAATTAATTCGAGCATAAAACTTACCTTTGTTGGCAGGACGACAATGTCGACCGTTTGGAGCTGGCTGCTCGTAAATGCTGGGCTCCTTGGGTGGCACCACAATGGTCTCGAAGGATGCGGGATTCGGGGGGAGGACCTGCCTGGCTGGCGTTCGTTGTGGTGCTAGTGGTGGTCCTGCCTTCGGAGGGGTAATGTGAAGCAGCTTCGTGGCATGACCGTTGGCATCGCAAACGATGCCATGCCAATGATGGTTATGCTCCAGCTCAGATGGAACATCCTGTGGCTTCCCCGGCTCCTCCACCACTAGGCACTCCTCTTCGTGCTCCTCGTCCTGCTTTTGTTCCTGCAGGACTTCCTCCTCCTCCTCGTCACGCAATTGCTGCTGCTTGAGCTGGTGCTCCCGAATGAGGCGATCTCGTTCGTGAAAGTGCCGGACAAAGGAGTGGTCGCCGGTGTGATTCTGATGATTCGGGTGATTCTGCAGTGGTTTCGGCGGGGTTAACGACTTGAACGTCTCTGTTTTGGGTGGATAGCCACCCACACCGACCAAGCTGGGCGGCAGACTATTAATTAATGTACCCATTGTCCTTTGCTGGTAATGATGTTGTTGGAACATAATTTCGTGCAGCGGTATTAGAAAATCTGGCAGGGATTTCTGTCTCTGTTTGACAGATGCCAGCGTCTCCATGCCAAAATACGGAACCGGCAGACATGTCTGGCCATCGCCACATGCGGAAGTCATCGGCTGGCCAACATCCTTGTTGATTTCCCCACTATTGTTGCTGCCATTATAATTATGATATCCAATGCCGTCGGCTGGCCTTAGATACCAGGGATTTAATATTGTTTTGCCACGACAGCTTGTAGCCAGCGCTATAAATCACAGAAACGGAAAAAGGGTTAAACAATTGCATTTTTATAGACTAGTCGAAATGAAGTGAGAATTTGCCCCGAAAAAAGTGCTGATAAAATGGGCTAAAAAAGGGTAAAAAAAGGGGTTTCAATATCATTATCAACACTTGCTGGCTTTTCACCCCTCCGATGGTAAACAGCCCTTGTTCGGCTCCTCCAACCCCTTTGCCCAAGCATATTGCCAATGGAAACCGTTTATGTCACTATCAATTACTCATCATTATGGAACTTTGATACGCCTTTCTACCTTATATAATATAACCCCCTCCCTGCACTCTGCACCCCTGGCCCATTTGGTTACGCTGCTTTTTTTTAGTGGGGGTTGTACGCCATATTCGCCATATCCACTTTTCAATCAGTTTTTTGTTCTTCGTCGATCTGTTCATTTATGACTTTGATTGATTATGAAATCTGTACATAATTTTGATTTTATAGTTTTCAGATAAGCGGCGGAGGAAGTGAAATCTGAACATTTGTTCATCGAAGTGTGGGCGTTGTACATCATCATTCTGAGTGGCACGCCCTGCGCTGAGCGATGGGTTAACTCTATTAGCTGGATTTTAGGGCTACTAATGGAGGTAAAATCGAATCAGAAGGACTATTTTAAACATTTGAAATTTTAATTATTATTGTTTTGGTTTGCAGTTTTATGGGATTATTGGAAATTAACAAATTTGACTTACTTACAATAAATAAATTTAAATATTTTAAAATATTTTATATTAACCCAATTATTTCATATTAATTAGGCTGTTATTATATTTAAAAAATATTTAAAATATGCCCAAAATATCGTTGATATTACCCATAATTAAATGTAAGCGCCATGAAAGCCCCAAAATTATTTATACAAATTCCTTTTTCATTTTTCCGACCCCCACATTTATTTTCTCGTCGACAATTGCTACTGTATGGCACATGATCACTTCATTGTACATCATCTATGATCCCAGCACTCAGCGGAAAAACACAGAACACTTTATGAATGAAACTCTGACCTATGGCTAATGATGCACAAAAATAAAAAAGCATCAAACACAATTGCCATCGCTTCAAGTCCAACCAAGGCAACCACAAAATGTCCATTAGAGCGCCAAAAGCCGTCTGAATAATGAGAGAAGTTCACGAATCACGAGTTCGGGATAATTGTGATTGGAGGCAGTAGTCAGATCGGATCAGAGCCGATGTTATGGGTATTAATTTGATTAATGGCCGGGGGTCAGGTAGAATAAAGCCGGCAAAGCCGCAGGAAAGTCATTTCCCCTTTCTGTTCGCCGGCACAGATTGAACCGGATTCTTAAGCATAATGAGAATAGGGAAAATATTAGTTAACGTTTAACCCTCTGTCACCCCTTCGGCTTGTGCCGGCCACGCGACATCTTAAAGATGCAAAAAGGGTTGACACACCGGAAATGGTGCAGAAACATCTGATGCGAGCAGTGTTGGCAGCTGTAGCTGGTTTCTAGCCAAATAGTTTAACATAACAATTTTAAGATTATAAAAAATAAAGTATTGATAGTGTCAGCACATTTGTAATATATTTAATATTGATAGTGTCAGCACATTTATAATAAATTTAATATTTATATAAAAAAAACTTGAAACATAAAAGTTTAGGCTACTTATAAACAAGTACATAGAGAGATAATCTGTAAAATTTCTAAACTATTTATTATTTATTACATGAATGTTTAATAGAATAATACATTTATCATACAATTTGTTAAATTAGAGTTAAATATAATATTATTTTTACTCTGCACTCTGTATTTTAATCAATACAAATTTAATTTAATTACGATTCATCATAGATTCATTTTTAAATGTAATAAATTCTTCAAAAATTATTTACGGATTATATTTAGGAAAAATATTTATATTTTTTATGAAAGATAGATACGTTATATTTTAAATATTGGTTTTGGCTTCTTTTACAACTAATATACGAATGTCACCACTGAATTGGAAGTGTGCCGAGGATTATGAAAATGAAATGAGGGCGGGTCGGGCCAGAAAGCTGACTTTCAATAATTGGAAAGGCTTCCTGATTTCTAAAAAAGGATTCTTGTGCCGCTGCTGTCAATATGCCTGAATGCTCGTGCCAGTCAAGGTTCTCTTTTGAAAATGCAATCTGTCGAGGGGAAAACTCTCGCTGAAAGATGAAGATCCAAAGGTGAAAGTTTCAATCAAATGAGGGGACGTAAAAGGAAAAGGAGTCGTCGTTGCTTGCACAGTTGCCATCGAAGGAGCAGCTGGTTTAGCCGCACAAGCCGCAATTGTTAAAAAACTGAAAATTAAATCCTTTTTTCAGGCTCAATTTGCTACTGATGCCGTGCATCCTTTGGCCCCGCGCATCCTAAGCCTCGCAAGCTGTTTCAACCAAACCGAAGGCGCTCCAAGGAATCCCCCGGCCATCGGCATTTTCTCCGCTTTTTTGGCATTGTTACTTTGTGCGATTATATTTACCTGCAACATGGCGATTAACGCGCATCCTGCTCTACCTGGATCCCTCTTTATTGCTTTCCTATGCGCTTTGATTTCCCATTGCGGCAACATCCTTTATCCTTTGTGCTCCTTTGTTGCATGCACCGGCTGGCAAACACATTAGAAAAAGTGAAAAGCGGGGGAAGGGCAATGGAAAGGGGCAGCCCTGCAAAAGTGTCAGGAGCGCAATGCATTGGCAGTTGGCTTGTTCCCCTCGATTCTTTAAGGATTTTCAATTACGCAATGCCGGCGAAGGAAGTTCGCTGAATATCTATTTTTTCGGTTGATTGAAATGAGTTTTTTTTACGATTTTTCTTTGGAAATATTTTTAATTGAGAAATTGGACCACACACCAGGCACTTGGTGCCCGATTGTGTGATGTCTTAAAGGTTATTAAAATATTCGGTGAGCAGCAGATGTGGTAATAAAATCAAGGGAGATTTTAAATGCAATTTAATTCGAATATTCAACTAGTCAAACGATTTAATGGGATTTATAAATGGAAAGTTTTTTATAAATTTTAACGATCAAATTTTATAACTAATTTTTCAGTGTATCATTAAAAATGAAACGTGTCAGTAAAATTTTAACAAAAAATGCCTAAATTGTTTTGCCAATATTTAATTGAAATATAGCACTATTTTAAATCCATAATTTTGTCTGGTTCTGTTTCTGCCATTAAAATTGGTACTATTCCAAGGCCCCCCACTCCCCACGAATTTCTCTCGCCCTACTGACTGATGTAACGAGTCTATTCCCAGACAAATACGTAACACATAAAAAACGATATAAAATATATACGTAAAAACCAAACCACCAGATGAGAGAGTTAAAAACCATTTAGAAATGTTTGCATTATAATTGCGGTGATTATTTTGGATCGGGGTCATTAACATGTGACATTCACAAACAAAAAAAAAGACAACAAACAGATTCGAAAAGAGTCGAAAGAGAAACACTCTGGGTTGAGATCTCCGGAGAGTGATAAAATAGTTAAATCAGCATTTGGGCCAGCGAGAGCTTTCTAGTGTGATAAGAGCTCTTTTGGAGAATTGCGGTTAATTGAAGAATGCCAAGATTTGTCCGGAAGATTCGGATGTTTAGAGCTAGAACCATAAATTGTTCCACTAATGTGATCTCTGTGGTGAATCCGATTCTGAGTGTGTTGGGTATTACCTAAGCCACTGAAGCGTTAATTCAGAACCCCCCTTTCGACCCGAATGCCCCCTTTTCGCTTTGGCCAGATCATGATTGTATAAATTGCCAAAGCGCGTTGCCAAAAAAGTTTAGAACTTTTCTGTCTGCTGCCGGGCGCGCAACTCCAATTTAATTATTGCTCTCGAATCGTGTGTGTTTTCTGGTGTTTTGGACCATGGTCAACGCTCTGTGGGCCACGTTAATATCGCTCACTTTAATAGGCCGCGTTTTGGCCAACGATCTGTTCTCCCTGCCACCTGCCACGAGTCACAAAGAGGAGCTGCTTGAGGAATATGGCCGATTTCTGCTGTCCACCATGAACAGGAGCATCGATCCCTGCGAGAACTTCTACGAGTTCAGCTGTGGCGGCTGGAAGAAGGCCGACTTGGTGCCGGAACAGGCTAGGAATACCAGTTTTCTGCACGCCATCCAGCACAAGATCGATGAGCAGGTCCTGGGCTTCCTGCAGAACGCCACCAAACGGGAGCTGGAGGATCTGGGTGTCAATGGCACCAGATCGGCGGAGATTAAGGCCAAGCAATTCTATGCCAGCTGTGTGGAAATGAAGGCCAACTTGTCGCTGGGCTATCAGTATTTACTGGAACTCGATGAGGATCGTTTGAGGGACACCAATGCCACCTACGATTGGATGTACATCAACTTCATGTCCAAATACGATATATATCCTCTGCTACCTCTGAAAGTTCACTATAGTACCTCAAGCAGGAAGTTCGATTTACTCTTTACTTTGCCCAGTAAAGTGCTAGCCGGCATAAGTGAAGAGCAGCTAAAAAATATGACCAGAGAGTTTGGCTTGGATACGAGTGCAGAGAAGGCTAAGCAGTTTACGGAGAACTTTGCCAATCTCACTCAATTTGAGAGGAATTTAGTTTCGGTCGCCAAAATGCGCAATGAAACGGAGCAGTTAAATTTCAAGGATTTTCTGGCCAAACACAAACACGATCGCTTGAATTGGACGCGATTTTTCGAACTGGCCTTTAACGGCAGCCAGGAATCCCACTGGCCAGTGCTCAATCAGCTGGATAATGTCAACGATTTGGTTTACTTTCTGGAACAAACCAGTCTGGAAACGCTGAAGGGCTATATTCGAATGCGAGAACTGCTGAAGTTTTATGGCCTGTGGAAAACTCAAACTAAAATGGGGGGAGTTCAGAGCGAATGTCGCTCTTTGTCGGAGACCTACTTCAATTACGCTCTGCTGCCCTGGTTTATTGGTAAGGTATTCGACAAGGAGAGACGTGCGGATATACTGAGCGTGGCGAAGGATATTAAGGACACGTTCTACGATCTCCTGGACCATCATACCTGGTTGGATGACGAGACTCGGTCGCAAGCAAAAACCAAACTGGCCTCCATGGACATTTTGGTGGGCTATACGGATGATCTGCAGCATCGCGAGGTGATTGATGGAGTCTATAACGATATCAATATGACCGGAAGTTGGTTTGAGAACCTGTGCATCCTGGAGGGAAGTAGGGCCAGGATTCGTCTGCGTTCGGTGGACAAGGCTTTGATTCCGCTGCTCATGCCCACGAGAACTGTGAACGCGTATTATGCTGATTTTCTCAACCTGGCCTTCATCACCATCGGCATGGCCCAGTGGCCCTTCTATCACATGGACTTTCCCGATGTCCTCAAATACGCCGGAGTGGGTAATATAATAGGTCACGAGATGGCCCACGGTTTCGATTCCTATTGCTATCAGTACAATTATGATGGCAAGAAGACCAACTGGTGGTCTTCAGCTTCTTTGAGGAACTTTAAGGAACGCTATCGCTGCCTGGAATCGCAGTATAACAAATTTATTCTGATGGGCATCCAAACTAATGGTTCGCTCACCTCTGGCGATAACATAGCCGATAATGTTGGCACCCGAATGGCATATTATGCTTTCAAGCGGAAAACCGGCGACAAGGCTTGGCTGGAAAAACCTCTGAGGGGTGTGAGCTTTAATAACAAACAGTTGTTTTTCGTAAAGTTCGCCCAAACCTGGTGCAATGGCAAGGATAATGGCGATAAGCTGCGGAGACTGAAGACTGATGTCCATGCCTACGACGAGTTCCGGGTTCAGGGCACCTTGAGCAATATGCCCGAGTTTAGTGAGGCTTTCAACTGTAAACTAGGCACGGAAATGAATCCGCTCAAGAAGTGCGTGGTTTGGTGAAATAAAATTGAATTTTGGAAGAGAATACATGGTGGTTTCATCTATTCGATGGGTTGTAATTGGGAAAAATAACTAATTAATAAGGGAAATTCTCGGTTATAAAATATGTTTTAATAAGTTACTTAATCATTTAGAAAAGTTATTCATTTAATATTAAAAAGTATTTCATATAAATATGACAAATCAAAGAATAATAAAGGTTTCCAAAAATAAATCTTGCAAATTTGGTAACAATTTAAAATTATAAAATTCTTTTAGATAGATTTGTACATATTAAAATAAAGTTAAGTTTTATCCAAATAATTTTTCAAAATTTAATTTGAACGAAAGTCATAAATATATACAAAACGAATCAACTTTGGGAAATTTACCAGAAGGTTCTACTAAAATTAATTTCCGAAGTTTTCTTTCAATGAAATTGTGAGGTTCAAGTTGTATCTTGATTTGTGTTATGATTTTGTTTATGGTTCAGTCAATATTTTAAAGTTTGTAAGGAATCTAAAACCCAAATAAGTATTTTTCATCCTGCCTCAATGATGACTTCATTTACACAGAGCAATCAGCGATTTCGTGGTTCTTCTGCCGGCATAAAATCGATATTTCATGGACCAAACTAACGCCCCCCACTTGGAACAGCTGATGGCAATCGAATAGAAGAGAAATACTAATTGATTTGATGCAGAACCTGCCGGAGGAACCTCCCCCCGGGGTCGGGAACTCGAAGTGTGGGCGGTTCCCGGCAATATTTGTCTTTTGACTTTGCAGCGATGACACCTTTCTCATTACGAATTAATGGCATTTTCGGCCGGCCAACAAAAGGTGCAACAAAAGACCAAGAAGAAAGTCACCGGGCACAAGAAAAGGTGCAGAAAGTGAGGCTTCAGCCGAAAAACCGTTGGCATGTTCTGTTTTTCCCAAAAAGAAAAACAGTTTTTACTATCATTAGTCGTCACTTGAGAGTCAGGAAGATACGGAGAACAAAACCAATGCGTTAGCCTGGCAAAGAGTCAAAAAGGAAGCCAAACCGTTGGATCGAGGCTGCAGCCTGAATACGAAATAGGGATATGTATTTGCTTAAGGATATTCGGGCTTATCTCGGGCGTCCGAGCGGCGGCCTAACGGATTTTCATGCATTTGTTATGGATTTTCGGCGCCAGGTCTCTTATTAGCTGGCCAACAGAGCAGGCAGGTAAATGATCCTGCTGCCTCGCAGCGGGACTCATGACTCCTGGCAGGTCGTAAAAATCCGGCTCATGCATTGCAGATAGATCATTAATTTAATGGCTTTTGTGCGCAAGGAAATGCAAAGTGCAATCCTGCATAAGTATATATACATATATACCAATGTATATATACCCACATCACACAACTGATCGTGGAGGTGGTCCTCGTCGGGCAAGTCAAATTGCAAATTCTGCAGGGCTGGGAAATTCGAGACAGCAGTGCTCTATCTCATAATTGCCTTTGCCGAGCACAATGGACCAGTCAAATTAGCCTTCATTTGTAATCTTCTAGCACAGGTTCTCGGGTCTCCGCCCCCCACCTTCTCGACCACACTCCGATCCCCGTTCTTGATCGCATTAATTCCATTTATGTAAACCATTTCGCAGAGGGCTTGTCGCTGGTAATTCGAAAGGCGTACACGGTGTAATAAAAAATCAACTTGCTCGGGAAGCTCCTGGGGAGAGAAGGGGGTGGATTCCAGGCTGGGTGGGTGATGTACGGGATTGGGGCAATAGCGGGAAATATGGCCGAGCTAAAGGGTTGTCAGGTTTCCATATGAAATTTAATTAAATTAAAGGATTAGACATTGAATTGTACATAAATTGTTACAATAATATATAAAACTTTTGTAAACTGTATTTACTGGAATTTATATTTGAAAAACTATTCACATATATGTATATTTGTTAGGAATTCTTTATCAAAATATATTTAATTTAAAACTTTTAACTTAAAAGAAACAATTAAATCTAAATTGAGTTTTCTTCAAGCATTATACCTTAGTTATGGAATTTATTTACGAAAAATACATCCGCTATCTACATTACATACATTCTATGATCTTTGGCAATCAGGTAACCTGCAAATTCCAATTAAGTTCATTTCCATTGGTTGACCTGGCAACCCTATGACATCGCGCTCTGTGCAAACAACTTGCCAAAACCATGTTTCCATAATTACATGCAGAATGCCTTTTATGCCACGGCAACCTGCTTCCGCCGCTTAGCCAATAATGCCTCATCCACCTCGGCATCGGCATCAGCATCAGCCTCAACCTTCACCCATCACCCCTTCCACCAACTGGCTGACCCACCGTCCTCATCATCTCCATCTGCCTCCACCATCGCAGCAGAAATTGAACAAAAGGGGCGTCGTCGCAGGCCAAGCTAAGAGTTAAGCTTAGCCGGGCCAACAGTCAGGTAGGAACTACCAAAACAGTTGCACTTGCCGGGCATTTTCGGGAGGGGTTTTTGCGGCCGGGATCGGCAGGAATCCATCGGTGCACTAGCTGCCAAGTCGGGTGTTCATGGTGAATTATGAAAATCGTTGCGAAATTAAGTTAAGAACTTTTTTCAGCTTAGCAGGAAGCAAAAAAGGCAGCAGCAGTGGAAGTTGGGAATGGATATGGCTGCGTGAGAAGAGCGTGAGTAACTTTATTTTTTATCTCAAGAATTTCGATTTTAAATGTAAAATTAAGTTAAGTTTTCAAAGTGAAAAATTTTATATTTCAAATATTCACTAGATATTTATTTAATAAATACTCTCTTCCATAAAATTGGTTTGATACAAAATAAATATTAGTTTATCCCGACCTTAAGTTATTTTTTATTTGTTTAATAATATCGTTATTATTCCGATTTTTTTTATAAGAATTTAAGGGAGAACGATAAAAAGGTTAAATTGAACTTAATTTTAGGTAAAAACCATATGATATGTTTGTCCTTTGTGTTTAATTTTCTCGAGGAAAGACTGATTTTTAAGTTACTTTAGATTTTCTGAGACATCATACAAACTGCTGGTCACGCTGCCACCTCTTAAATCCTACAACCATTGAACCCGTACTTTTATTAAATGGAGATGATCAATTTAAATATTTTGCAATTGTTGTTGCCGGTGGTGCGTGAGCGCCCTGACCCTCAGCTGCGATGGAGCTCGGTTGCAAGAAGCCACCGCAGCTGGGGCAGGAGCAACATCATTGGAGCGGGGCAAAATGCATGCGGATCTTGATGCAACCTGCTGCTGCTGCTGCCGCCTCCTCTCGATTTGTATAAAAAATGTGCTTCATTTTATTTGGCCGCGACCGGCGTCCGCCTCCATGGGTAAACGCCCCAACTCTCAAACTCCGAAACTTTGAAACCCCAGCTCCAAAAACGCAGGCCAGCCGAAAATGCAGCCAAACAAATCGCATATGGATCGCATGGATCGCTGGGGATTCTGCCTGCCCATGGCTTCTGCTGGATTTTCTGTTTTTTTCGCCAACGATTATCTAAATTGCATACGAAATTATTTTAATTAAAAATCTAATTTTCTTAGCCGCCTTACACGGTGCAAGGTCCCCTCTTTTTTCATTCCGTTTTTGGATCAATGGTCTCCTCCTTCTCATGGAAGTTTTTGTTTACCATATATTGATCTTGAAACGCTGGGAATTTTCGTTGATGTTTACTTGTTTGTTCATTGAACCTTTAATTTGACGCGATTAAAATGATATTAGAGGTGCACGTCACATCTGTTGCAAGGGCAATTCCTTTAACCTTCCCTATAGAAGGTGTGAAGATGTGACGGCGTCAGCTGGGGCCTCATCTTTCCAAACGTGACCATTTATTGATTAATGATGCATAATTTGATGGGGAATATTATTCGGGTCTTGGCTAATTGACGCCTTTCCGGTTTTGTTTCTTTGAAATGGGATCAGCAAGGGTTGAAGACGTTAGAAGCCGTTTGAAGTACATAGAACAATTGTCTTGGTTGGTAGTAAAATGTAAAAGAAATAAAACCAAACATTTTTTTTTTAAATTATACCACCTAAATTGTTATTTCTTTGTACAAATTTTCTAGTAAGGAATTATCTCTAAAACATAAAATAAATTTGCAATTATTGTCATCCATTTTCAAAAAATATAAAAAGGAGGATTAGTATTTCCAAAAAATCCCATCAGCATAATATATTTATTATTTGTATTATATATGAATTTATTTCTCTATCCAGTAATTGGACTTTTTTCATCATTAAATCATTATCCAACCATCCCGAATTGCACTCATCTTCAGTAGCTGAAGGAAAACCTCGTTCCGATGCAATTCAATCAAATCAACCACCAACCGATGCATAAAATTTAAATAAATGTTTGATTTGAATTTAATTGCGGCAGCAGATCAGGCAGAACCTGTCTGTATTCCGTCAGAGAACCTCAATTGAATATAAATCAAATGCAGCCGACAGCCGCACATCAGTGCGGATCAAAGGGACGCGCTAATCACACGCTGGGCCAAATAGGATCTAATTTCCACACAAGAAAAACCCATTTTTTATATGAATATATGTATGGCGTAGATATCGACAAAAGATCATATGGAGATGCGTTTATAGAGAGATCAGGTGCAGTCGATGAGCATTCAAATTTCGCGCATCTCGGGAAGATAAATGATGGAGCAGGTAGGACAGGTATAGGAGCTGGCAGGTAACCCAACCATTTCAATTTGAATTTCGACAATAATTAAGCGCAACAATGGATTTATTGAGTTTTCCTCATCTGAAACCAACGAATTGCTTCTGCGGTTCCCGTTGCCAGTGAGCCTACAATTAGTTGGGAACCCAAGACCCTATAGACCTAGACCATCCCATCCGATCTCGTGGCAGTTGCAATTATCATAATTATTTTCATTCATGCGGCGCTGCATTGAGCATCTTCGACTGACAGTTCATCTCTCGCTGGCGGAGATTGGCGAGATAAATCCGAGTCCGCTCTGAATGGAATCTTTGCGTTCTTAACGCCGTTTCCCTTTTGTTATCCCGGACCCATGTTCTCACAGATCCCAGTAGCAGAAGTTGAGAAAGAGGATGAGGATGCATCCCGATATTGTGTTTTTCTTTGCATTTCCGGCACTTGCTGCATGAACGGCACTTATTTTGAATACCCTTCTATGGGAAATGGGGGTTATGTTTGTGTTGTTTCCTCAGATCTTGATCGAATTTAACCGCAGTGCATTGAAAATACTCTTGAGTTCTATCTGTGAATTGTATTTTAATATAAATGTTTGGTACCTAAATTTAAGGTATTATTTGGTTACTGTTTTTATTTCAAAATCATAAAAAAAACTCAAATAAAAAGTATTTATCAATTTTTTATACTATTCATTTTTGTTAAATACTTGTTCTACAACATCCATCTTCAAATGGTAGGGATTGCATATGCCAGACCATTTCCCATGATGTTTCTGATGTAGATGTGCTATTGTATGGCGTTGGCTCATTTATGGCAAATTATTGTTCAAATCGTAATGGGAAGCTTGCCTCAGACTTGGGTGATGGATCGCCTCAAATGCTAACGATCTTGGGCCTAGACGAATATCACGAATATCTAACAGAAAATCTAATCAGAGAAACCAACTCCGGTGAGTTACATTTGCCTAAATCGACTTTAATTTCCGGTCGCGTGTTGGGCTCATTCGTTTTAAGTTCCCCTCCCATTGTTTTACTTTAAATTTTTGATAATTGCGCACTTAAGGAGGTTTGATTTTTTGTGGGTTTTGCATGTCATGAGAGCATTTCCGAGCTGGAGCAGAGGAAATGGATTTACATATGAAGATGAATGGTAATGAGTCCTATTTAAATATGGGTAAATTGGGGTTTCGCTTCGGTTGCCTTTGAATACAATTGAGGTCACGAGAAGTGTTTTTTCGAGTCCCCCGAGTGAGATCATCTAACGGCAAAATGGCAATTTCAATAATCGAAAGAAAACAAGATGTTGCAACCCCCTTTTTGGGTTGAGCAGGAGCAACAGGATGTGTGTGGCACCCTCTTTAACCCCTTGCGGTTCTCCTTGTCCTTGTCCCTTAAGACGGATGAAGTGTTTGACAACCCTTTCAATCTTCATAAATGTTCGCACTCGTGGCACAGGGCGACTCTCTCTCTGTTGCAATATTAGCCCGGGTCCTTGGGTCCCTTGTGTCGCATCCTTTTTTCCCAACTCTATCAAGATGACGACACGACCCTTTGCCAATAAAAAATGAAATCTGTTTCGATGCATAAAAAATTGAAAATCCCATAAGCATGCGTTTGGCACGAGTTTTTCTTTGGCAAAAAAAGGGTTCCCCTAGTTCTTGAGGCCTGCTTCTCGACTTGAAGGCCATGAAAAATGGCCGTGCTCTTGTTAACACGTTGTAAATACCTCATTTTTCACTTAACGGGTTTTTAAATACACTTATGCATTTGAGTGGCGGTATTTGGGCAGGGAAAAAAGTATTGAAAAACCCCAGAAGAGTTGGCAAGGTGGATATGCTTTATTTATTGCTTAATTTAAAAATGAATAAATAGATAAATGGTTGCAAAAGTGGCATGTGGCTTGATATTATTTTATAGGTTATATTTTCAAAAATCTAATAAAATAAAAATGTTTTAAATAATTATTTTTAAATAAAATAGGATAATAAAAACCCGAGAATATTTTAAATAGTTTATCTAAATGTATTCACTCATTTTTTTTAACTAGGAACTTAAAAAAAAAATAATACGTAAAGGCCAACAAATAAAGAATTCCAGAATGTTTAACCGTCCAATATCCATTGCATATTGGGCTTACGACATTTTTCCATTCCCATGAGAAGGAGGCCAACCACTCACCTGAAGTTGCTGCCGTCTGCTGGTGACTGTGGTCCATGGGATGGCAGCTGGATCTCTCCGGTGGCGACTCCATGAATTCCTGCTTGACTTGAATCTGCGGCAGGCGCAGCAATCCCTCAAATGCCTCCTTGGTGGGTGGAACTGGTGGGCAGTTGTCTTTAGGGTTAAAGCCATTCAAATGGCCAACGTTAGCGGCATAATTAGCCGCTGATGCTGCCATTGCCGGCAGTTGCAGTTGCAGTTGAGCGTCGACTAGAGTTGCTGAAACGCCTTGGCCAGTAATTTGAACATTAACACCTGCTGCCGAAGTTGCTGTTGCAAGGCAATGAGTTGCTGCTGTCGGCGACGTCAGCAACATGGTTGCTGTTGCTGCCGTTGCTGCTGCTGCTGCTGCTGCCGTGGAGCTCAAGTGTTGATGATGGGAATTGTTGGCGAGTGTTGTTGCCAGCAGTAATGGCATAGTTGTTGCTGTTGCCGCCGATGTTGCTCTTGTTGCTGCTGTTGCGTTGCAGTTCGTCAGCAGCAAATTGCGACGCTTTGATTTATGGGAAACTCAACTGCTCCTTGCTGCCTGTGGCGACTTGTTTGCCGCTCCGTTTGCTGCCTCAGATTATGATATTGACCCATGGACCGCTGGCGATATATATTCCTGCCTCCTAGTCCTCTGCTGCCTGCAAACGGTTGATAATTAAAAATGTCTTCTTCTGCTGAAAGCTTAATTTGCTGTTAAGTGCATTTTAAAAAGCTGTTATTAAATATGTATTGCGGTGATCTTCACGACTCGATAGCGGAAGTAATTGATTTTCCCTTAACAGATGTAACCACTCTGCTTCACGTGACTTTTTCACATGACTTTTGCCAATGGATCACGTTGCATATTGAAACAACGAATTGGTTTCACATCGAATTGACTTTATCACTTAGATTACCTAGTTTAGTTTAATAACTGGCTCATGAGTAAGTCTCTCTGTCTGCGCATTTTGCGATTGGCAAGTTTGTATTTTGATACGAGTCTGTGGAAAAATAGGGGAACTACTAAGGTAGGTCTGTTTAATTACAAGGTGGTTTTATTTACATAAACCTAAAAAAATTAGTTATTTGAATCACCTTTCTTTTCATATATTTTTTTTTCCAAAATAAAAAATGTAATTTGAATTAAACTAAAAAGAACTGTGATTATTTTTAATAAATTATGAGCAATTATTAACTCCTTTGCAATATTTTTAATTTCAATAATATAAATATTGGATATACAATTTGTTTAATACATTTTCTTATTGAGAACAAACGGATTTTTTCAAAATTCAAGTTAGCTCATTTAAATAACATCAAAGTTGCTAAATAAATTGTAACAATTGTAGCCTACAAATAAAAAGTACATATCATAATTTAAATAGTTGACATATTTGCTCTTTTCCAATTTTTTTATAGCCAATCCAAACAATTTCTTTAAAATTTCCCATGGCCTGCGAAATCAGCTCCCACAACTCTAAAGTGGTTGTATAAAACTTTACAGCAGTAGACACCATAAAAGGCACTAAAACCTAAACTTTGTATTATTATGCAAACAAATGAGGGAAAGGAAACGGGCAAACTGACGGGCATATGTACATAGATATTTACCAAATGTGGCTTGAAACGAAATTGTTGTAAATTGAAAACAAATTGAAGTCAAATGAGATAAGGACTGGGTGGGAGTCGAAGAATCACAGCAAAAGGCGATGAAATCAAAGGAAATAGAAATGGGAAATTAAAACACTACGAAGACGATCAAATGCCCCGAACAGGCACAAGTCACCTCGCCGATAAGATACGGTGCTGAAAAGTGCATCGAGTTTATGGAAATGGTATTTACATACATAACCATATACGAGTATAGAGGCGGGTCGGGGCAACTAACATTAATGGCACTTGTAAACAAATCAATTGAGTTGTCAGTATCGACGGCAAATTGGCCACAGCCAAAGTGCCACACGAAGATTGTTTATCAATTTTGCCAGTCGGTAAATTATGTTCTTTGCATGTCAGCAACCAATTGCCAAGAATCGATATATGTACCGGCCACATCAAAGTGGAAGCCGACTAAATGCAGTCACTTCTTCCCCACTAATACCACGTTCAATAATTCCCAATCGAGCCGGTAATTTCTTATTGGCCCGATATCGGGGCTTTCGCTATTTTTGTTTAACATTATCTTGTTTTAAAATTAAACACAATTGCTTACTCCAGTTGGGGATCGTATCGCATATCGTATAATACCGAACATTGCGATTGTTTGTCTCCAATTTGGAATTTGTGTTTTCATAATTTCCTATTGGGTGTACACAGGTCGGTTGTAAAGATACGAGGGAACCCAGTTTGATGATGTGATTTGCTTGACTTTCGGTTGAGAAATTGTTTGTCGTGATTATCGAATCATTGCCAGGAGTGGAGCAGTTAAAAGCTCAAAAAAATTAAATGTTATATCTAAGATAGTGTGACCGTATCTTAGAAAGTTTGTTCATCAAATTAAAAACTTTTCAAAATATTTCAGTTCTTGAATCGTTCTGAAAACTGAATTAAGTTTTGAAAGACAATTTTTATATATGATATTTTATTAATTTTGATTGTTATTTTGGTTCAAATAGTTTCAAAACGGAATCAAATTCAGCTTTAATTTAGCAAATAGGAAATGCTTGAAAATATTAGCTTAATAACTAAACTGCCATTTAGTTTTCGTTAAACCTTAATCCAGCATGCAAAATATTAAGTAACTCCATTTGATTTAAAGAAATATTGAAGCTTTTTAAAATAAAAAAAAAACATTTAATTAGGTTTTAATAAGGGATTAACAACTTTTAAATGCTCCTATTGAATATAATTTTGTATTCAAAAATTGGCTTGGATTAGCGAAAATCTGGCCAAAATCTCTGATGGACTTAGTTCGCCTGCCCAACTGCAATTGTCAGCCATATCGGGACACTTGTTGGTCCTCAAAAACATATGGCCAATTAAGGACGCAGAAATACGGGCAGACACATGGGAAAACCTCATTAAGAATCTGACAAGCCAGAAGAAACTGTGTCCCCCTCCCTTCTTCTGCATCTGGTTGATCCATCTAGCTGATCCATCGATCCCACTGAGTGTGGGCGTTACAAGACAAGCTCCTTGACACACTCATACGGTCCTAAAAAAAGAGGTAAACTTACTTGGGCTTGATGATGGCGCACCTCCTTACTGGTTTTTCCTTTATACCTTTTTTTAGTCTTTTTTCCTGTCACGAATTATAATTTAATTGTTTATTTTGCCACACTTTTATAAATTGTAATTGCCAACGAGAATTGCGACAGCTTCACGCCCTTTCTGGATTTTCAGGGGGGGCGGTGAGGTGAGGTGATCTCAGCCTTTTGGGACAATTCTCCGAGACACGCTTTTTGATTGACTTCCGACAAACGACTGACTTAAAAAAACGCGCAAGGAGATATGGGAAAAAAGTGAAAAAAAACAGAGTAAAGAAAAGAGAAAGAGCAAAAAGAAGCCAAGTTCGCGACGACTTCCGACGACGTCCGACGTATCCACAAAATGTCAAGCGAGTACAAAAAAATACTTTTTTTTATAGAAGATGTTGGAGAGAGTGAGTGAGTATTGGTCTGCCTGCAATTGTGTGTGTGAATGTGGGTGGAAGGGGGACTATAAAACAGGTGGAGGGGGTGGTGCGTGGGTGTTTTGGGGCGTTTGACTTCGTTTTTCTTTCTCCATTCTCTCGCTGTTTTTTTTTGCAGGGGGTTTTAAAATCAAAAGCGTGTATTGTGTGGGTGGGAAATAGCTGAATACGTTTGTGTGTGTGTGCGAGTTCTATATACATATATGGGTGGGTGGCTCTTATCGGATTTCGAATTATGTATGTATTGACTGGCGCTGCTTCTGTTCGCTCAGGGGAGAAATAATATGGGGGTTCCTAAGTTGATTTGTAGTTTAGAGCGGCATGAAAATGTTCATTGAATAGGATGCAGAATGAGAAAAGGAGAAAGGTTTATTGGTGCGAATGAGATGACAACGAGAACATACAAACAAAAATGTTTATTTCTGATATATTTTTAAATTTAATTAATTTTAACATTAGTTAAACAAATTTTATAATATTCCCATTTTTATCATTCACACAAAAATCAAATTAGTATCGCGGTATGAACTAACTTAATTGGTACTGTTACTGTTTAACGCACTTTCTTGTTCAAATAATAAGCTTCCATCTAATAAATGTAATAAATGTTAAATGATACAAACGCATGTAATTAAACTAACTTGTTTTCATAAAATCATATAAATATCAAAACAAAAAGGGTCTTTATTAATCATTAAAATATTATAAGTTATCTTCTTTCATCCTAAATAGTCTGTTATTAACTTTTTAAAACATATCCGCATTTTCATTACAAAAAATATTTTCCGACGGCAATGCATTTCTTTGAAATCACAGCACAGCTCGCGTTACGCATACGCCCCGTGGAGCAAGTCAAAAATCAACAAAACAAAAAAAATCGACATTGCAATGATGGCAGAACCGAGAATTATTCGCTGCGCTGTCAAAATGCGAATGTCAAGGCAAAAAAAAAAGAAAATGCAGCTGAGAGCCAACAAAAACCGATGAAGCGACCACAAAACGGCGGCAAAAGGCAAAAAGCGATAAACGCATAAATTAAAATAATTACAAGAGGCGTCCTCAGATTGTTGTTGTTGCTGTCACGCACACACAGCTAGTTCAAAAGTAGGAGTAAAAAAACAAGAAAAGTCGCGAGGACGACAACCGACAAACGGCCAACGGAGTGGCAACTGAAAAACTGCAATTGAATGCAACTTGACCAGGCCAAAGCAGCTAGAAGAAGAGCAGTACTAGCTGAATAAAAGAAAGAAGAAGCAGTACAAGCAACTAAAGCAAAAATACACTAAGAATAAAAATAAACAGTTTGTTCTACAAAGGTTTTAATTTATTCTTTATTCATAAATCTGATAGCTAAAGCAATTCCAAGAATATTATTATTTAAGGGTTCAAAAGTTCATACAAATTGCCATCTGATTAAATGCTTCTATAAGAATTGAAATTATTAAAGATCTAAACTGATGGTTTTTTAAAGTTTTATAATATAAATAATTTAAACGATTGATATTTATTTGTACAATTCCAACAATAAAAAACATTTTTTTTTAATGTTTTTATTATAGTAGTATAATTTTTTTCTTTTAACCTAAACTGAAATGTGTAGAAAGCATTTAAAGACACGATTATTCATGGATGATAAAGTGTACTTATTTTCCGAGTGTAAAATCAGAAGATTTTTCTCGACAACTTGGGATCCACATTGTTGCAACAACGGTGTTGTTGCTGCTGCTGTTGATTTTATTCAAAATGGTTTGTTTATGCTTGAACAGAGAGAGAGAGAGAGAAAAAGAGAGGAGGAAGAGGTAGAAAATCTTGGGGAAATATCCACAAGCCCGCTCTCTCCCACTCACCCACACACACGCAAAGGGGGCAGCCGGCAGCCAATCGGCTTGGAGCTTTGGCCCTCTCTTTTGGCGCATGCTCGCTCTTATTGTGCAGCTCTCTCTTTCGCCGTGTGCCAATGCTGGAGTGTTTGTTTCTGAATTCGCCGCTGATGCTGGGGGAAAAAAAGAGAGCGAGAGGG